CTTTTCCATCTTTCAAAGGAAGGCCACAAATAATCAGAATAATTAGAGACTATATTATTTATCAATTATATTTCAATACACAAACTAACAAACAAAACATTGTTTGAATTAATCTACAAATATAAGGTTATATTATTTCTAAAAATTATATATACTATTTGAAGAATTCTTGATTAAGGAAATATATATATTCAAAAAGATTTGCTAGTTATAAAAGTATAACAATTAAAAATACTTGATAATAATATCGAAGAAACAATCCTGTATAAACAATATTACAAAGAAAATAAAAAGCTCCAATACAATTTGGATTATAAAGTTTTAAACAAAAATATACTTGTTAAGAATATTGTTTTATATTATAATCCTTGATCAAAAATCGATATATTACAAAACAAAAAACTAATTCTCAAATAATATAAATTTTACAAGATTATTGAAAAATTATTTGAATTATCTATTTATATATTCAAAGAAATAAATAATATTTTATTTGATAGAATCTATATAAATATCTATTTGAAAAAGTATATCTTATATTCTGATCTTTTTATTAATAATAATTCAAAGGATCTTTATAAATAGATAAATCAATAAAACCAAATTTCAAGGTATTTATATTCCTTTAAACAAATATCGATTATCAATCAAGGATTGTTTATTATATAATTACAAATCAATCGAGATCTTGAAATATAAGATAATATACAAGATATCGAAGAAAAGCTTTTATTATATACCCCTATTTATCGATTGAAAAGTATAATTAATATTTCATTCTAAATTTTAAAAAAAGAAAAGAATATTTGTATATCTTCAAAAAAATTATAATAATCCTTTCAAATTCCCTTTTGAACAATTACAAAAACAATTCCTAAACAATACTTTAATATTCTAATTTCCCTTTTATAAATCTATCTTTTTCTTTATATTTTGAATTTTATTTACTTTTTTTTTATTACAATTATTTTCTTTTAAAAAATAATATATTCTTCTAAACAAATCCATTTGAAAATCCTATAATGATTGAAGAACAAAATAAAAAAGTAGCTTTTTGTTTAAAAGTTTTTATAATAATTTCTTTTTATTATAAAGAAAAATCCTTTATTAATGTTATACAAATCATTATATTCTATAATTCCTTTCAATCTGTAAATCAATATAATACTCTTAAATAATAACTCAATATTATTTTGAAGCTAACAAAAGATATTAAGGATTTTGTAAAAGAAATATAAAATAAAATCAAAAAAGCAAAACTTTATGAAATTATAGATCTTTTCAAAATTATATACTTTGTTAAAAATAATAATATTATTCAAATAATCAAATAATATTATAATAAGATTAAGGAAAGTTTTAAATGTTTAAAGAAAATCTAGATAACTTTTAAAAGAAAAGAATTTGTAAGATTATGATTTTAAAATAAAAAGCTAAAAGAAAGTATTACAAGAGTCGATATAATCTTTTATATTATATAATTTAATTTCCAAATCCTTATTAAGTTCTTAAATAGATTTATAATTCAAAAATTTATTAAAAAGAAAGATTATAATTATAAAAAGTATATTTTAACAAAATTCTATAATATATATATCTTTATTACAAATTCGAATTCAAAGATAAAAAAGGATTGGAAATCTCTATCTTTCGATTTCGAAAAAGATTTAATCTTCAAAAAGTATTAATTCATTATCAATAGATTTAGATTTCTGAAAAAATATAAATCTAATAAAACCTCTTCTGTTTTGTTTCAAAAGTTTATATTTGAAAACTTTAAAAGAGCTAATGAAATTAAGATCGAGGAAATTGATGATGAAGAATCGGAAACAGATCCAAATATTGAAAAGGAGTTAGAAATTATTGATATCTTTAATTCTTTATAAACTTTCTATTTCTTTTATAAACAAATTATTGTATCAATTTCTGAATCTGTTATTATAAATATTGATAAATAAACAAAACGAAATTATATATTCGATTTTTCAAAGAAAACTTTTTTTTATTTTTTTATTCTGAATAAGTTTGTTTTTTATTGTTGAGAAATTGATTTTATTTTAGAAACAATTTCAGATAATGATAATGATATATCCGAAGAATTTTTTAGGATTATTCTAAATTCCTTTTAAGAGTTGAAAAATTGTAATTATGAATTAGATCTTTAATTCGAAAATAAATAATATATATTAGTCGATGAAGGTTATATTGTTGATTAGATAAAATAGATAATTATTATATCTCTTAATAAAAGTATCATTGAAAAAGCCTTTTGTATATATTATTTATATACTTTAATCAAATTATTTAATATAAAGATCAAATATATTCCTATTAAAGAACTTCGGAATTGATTAGTTATAATGATTTACAATTGAGATCGTATTAATAAGATAAAATTGATTATTCAATTTTATTTCTGATTCTATCCCTATATACAATTGATTATTGAACAAATTAAACAAATTCGAAAACTTTATTATTTCGATTCAAAGTTAAGTATATATTCTTTTTGTATAATTCCAGAACTCAAAGTTAGATTTATCAAGAAAAAACCTATCTTTGAAATACTCTTCCGAAAACAAATCCTTATAAAAATTCTTGAGTTTATTTTTTTTTTATAATATAAAGATTTTCTAAATCTTAAAGTTAATCTTAAAAATATCTTTATTATTTACAAATAAAACTTCTATAATAAATTTAAAAAAAGTTTATTTCCAAATTGTTATTATTCTTTAATTCAAATATTTTTGAAGAATGATATTATTTTATAATGAGTTATTATACTCTTATATATTGATAAGAAATTTCGCTTTATTTCTGTTCCTTTTTTTATTCTTCGATTTCCAAATTATAATTAAAAAATAACTTTGTATTATTCTTTTATTGATCTTACAGAATTGATATTCAAATATCGAGGTATGAAGTTATTCCCAAGGATTATTATCCTAATAGACCTTCTCAAATTTAATAAAATATTAACTAAAATATATTAAGAATATTAGATATTAGTATTAATTAATCCTAATAAAGGTTTCTGTTTAATCAAAAAGTTCTTTAAAAAGTATTCATTCTTTCATCAATCCTAATATAATCTAAATTGATTTATATAAAAGGAAGCCTTTTAATAAACAAAAAAAGATAATAAATTTTATTAATAAATATTAATCAAAGAAGACTTCTATATAATCGTTTTATTATTCAATATAATCCTTCGATTTATTGATATCATTAAAAGTTGTAGTTCGATTATAATATCAATTATTTATCTTATTATAGATACTAATAATGATGAAATAAAAGATAACATCTTTCAGAAAGACCTTTTTCAATTGTTTCAAAATTAAATTGTCCTTTTCATTTTTTAAAAATTCAATAAAGAAGAATTTTATATACCGAAGTTATTTTTTTTCAATATAGAAACATTACCTTTTTTAATTTCTGTTTTATAAATTTTTTTAAAAAAAGTCTTTTGATATTTGAAATTGATAATAAACAAAGCTTATATATTATTCGATTATAAATTCGAAGGCTTTATAAAAATATATACAAGATTTCTTGAATATAGATTCGAAGGAATATAAACGATTTTCGAAATCTTGGAACAGGAAAAGAAATCCTAAAAAGTATATTCTTTTCTTATACAAAACCCAATTTATAAATAAAAGCAAGCTATCTTTAAAATTAAAAATTTGATAATATTTAAGTTTATTAATGAAACCTTAAAAGAAGAATGAAAGATTATCAATTTAGAAACCTTTATTTAAGAAGAAAAAACTTCTTTACTTACTCCTCAGAAATTATTTCGAAAAAGAAAGGAATCTGTTCATTATATTAAATCTAAACTGAAAGATCTCCCTTCAACTCTTGAAGTATAATCAAAGCAAAAAAGAGCTTTATAACAAAAAGAATCTATTATTAATCTCTTTGATATACAAAGATTATTTCCTTTTTCTATTCAAAAATAACAAAGTCCAACTTCTCCTATATTATCTTCAAAATCGAAAAAAAAGCTGCTTTTGTTTTTCTGAACCTCCAAATATCTTTATTCAGGATTCGATAAACCTCTTTTCTTTTTAGATATATCTTCAAAATCAAAGTTTAAATATTCGAAAACTAATAAAAGTATTGATAAAAACAAAACTCTTATTGAACTATTTATTGAAGAATAAAGGATTATCTCCAAATTCAACAAATCTCTTTTTTATTATTTAATTTTTATATTTGTTCTAAAAAGTTGTTAACAATAATATTTTGTATATTTTATATTCTAATCAATTATTTTCTTTAATAAACAAAAAAAGATATATATATCTTGAAAGAAAAAGATATAAGAAAATTGGAATTATAAATCAAATATATAAAGGTTTTAACTAATCAATTATATGATTTTTTATAATTAGATATAAAAGAAGAATTTTTTATCTCTTTTTTTTATAATAATAAACCTTTTATATATATATATTTGAATCTATATAATATCAACCCCAAAACTATTATGAACCTTGTTTTATTTATAAGTAATATATTACAATATAATCTAATTCAGCTTTCTCTTCCAATTCCCTCCTCACAATATGCTATCGGGACGCACGTATCTCGACCTACCACTTTTACAGTATATTTTAGTAGTAAATAATAAGTCAAACGATACTATTAGCATCCGCATTTTATAAAATTATATATTTCCAATTGCTATAGAGTGAATGAGTATCTTTGTAAGATCTTAGTTCAAAAAGATAGAGTAAGAAAGAATAACTAGGAAAGAAATGTCCGTGAAACAGATTCCTGATGTTTTAAATCAAGATGATGTATCAAAGAGCGCATGTCTGCATATTATGGATGACAGTAATTGGCCATATGAATTATGTGTTTTAAATATTGTGGATCAACAACCTGTGTTGTCATCATTACGACAGGCTCAAAGCTAACCAGCGTGCTTACTTATTCGGAAGAGTTCCCTTCTCAAATCTATTCTTGCAGAGCTTTCGTAAGCCATAGAAATGAAAGCGACTCTGGAGGCACCAGACTTTGATCCAAAGTCGGTTCGCGCGTAAGTAATAATTTATCCCATACCGCGACAAGGAATGAAAGACCAGAGGCTAAGATAAACAATAGAAACCATGTTACAGATCAAATTGCTGCCAGAAAAATCGTGATTCAGGCATACTATTACATGAATAAAACTAGAGAAAAGCCGCGATATGAAAGGGTATTGGAGGCTCCATTATTTGAGGCTTTACCCGTTCTCCGCTCCAGATTCAATAAGAAAAGTCACGGTGGCATTGGCAACAAAGATCTTATTTGTTACGATCCAGAATGTACGAAGACAGACGGGAAGTGGTGCGAAAAGATCATTTACATGGAGGAGTTGATTTCTTGGAGAATCGGGGAAAAGCCAGAATATGGAACGCTTGTTGGTTGGTCCAGCAAGAGACTTTGGACGTACACTCATTGCCTCGTGCGGTTTCTAAGCAAAAAGCCGCTTCCTTATACCTCTTATATGACGGCTGAGACGAATGAAATTGAGGATGTCCGACTACTTGCAAGGTGCCTTGGTGCCAACGAGGAGAGCGATTTGCATTTGCGCAAGCATCTCGTGTCCTTTATCAAACTTCGTCTTGCCCTGCCACCTGCCGACCCGGAAAACAGCAAGAAGCCGACAAAGCGAAGAGCATCGCTCGAAATGAGCGTGGTGGAGAAAAAAGGAAGAGCCTTCATTGATTTGACCGAAGATTCACTTCCACTTGAAGAGATGCACACATCCAGTGGGCCAACTAGCTCCAAGAAGGAAAAGCTGTCACCAATGCCAGAGGTAGCATATATTCGATTGAATGAGTCTTCATCAAATTGCTATCTCGTAAACCTGAAAGAAGTGAAAGCTACCTCACATTTCTTGGGAGGACTCTTAGATGACCTGTGTGAGGGAAATCTTGTTGGAAGCAGATATTCCATGAGTGGGGACAGTATTGATGGATTGCCCACTTTGTTGTGGGACGGAGTTCTCACCTACTTTATGACTAAGGACTACGGAGGTATCCGAAATGCATCCGCTGCCATCATGAATTCCTGGCAAGCAGATGAGCGTTGGCTTCCTATGAGCATATTTGTGGAGGGAATGCAAACGGAGGGGGCTTTGCGAAAGACAAGGGCGCCGACCGATCATCGCCGTGCTGAATGGTTCAATAAATTTCTTGGAGCCTGTACATAACTTATACATGTCGAAGTCATAGGTCTGTTTATTGATGTTCTTGACACCTTTGTTCTCTGGAACAGAAGCTGTCCACCTGGGAAGCTTGCCACGGGAGGGTATTGCCAGCAGATAAGTGGCCTGAACGTGCTACGCTAGTCAATGCTTAGCTTCACCCTTGCATGTGCTTAATATTAGTTGGGCTGTACACACTCGAGCTCTTCTGTGAATGAGTAGATAGAAACTGTGAGAGCCCTCGTTTGCTAAACCAGGTGCAATAGTAGGGGTTGAAGGATACTATGACGACTCTAAGCTTGATATAATAATTAATGTAACAATGCTGATAGTTTGATTATTTAAATAACCACATACATCTATAAATCCAGACCTGGTAGTTAGTATTGAATGATTGATATTTTGAAGTAAAATTCTTTGAAACGTTGAGATATGCAGTGGGCAGCGTGCAAACCACAGTGGCTGGTAGCTGTGGCACCTTGTAGACGAGGTTAATCTAAAATACTCTATAAATAATTTCTGAAGTAAAAAATAATTATTTATTTATTATTTGATAATAATAAAAAATATTTTAGGATTTCAAGGATTTTAAAGATTTAAAAGTTTTTTTATTCTAATACTATTAAAGGTTCTATTAAAAGATAAAAGTAAAGTCTATGAAAATAAAAAACGATAATATTATCACTCCACTAGATATCATACAACATATGGAACCTAAGGGTCAATTGATCATTATTGTATTCGATAAAGAGAAAAAGGATCTATAGGATCTTTTCCTTTTCTATTAATAAATCTATGCATAATTACTAGTCCTTCGCTCCTGACACTAGGAAGCCGGTGTTAGGAATTGAACCTAAATGATAATATATATCAAACGGGTAAAGGTAGGATAAATTAATACCGTCTGCTGTGTTGCAAGCGTTGCATATGCCTGTATCATCGTTGCCTGTAGCAATTATCGCTACAAATATGCCTTATGCTGAAAGCATCATACAATGCAAATAACCTAATACGGGGTCGTATATACAATGACGATCTCCTCTGTCCGCTCAGTCATTCGCACTAACCCCTCCGCCGCTCTTCCTGCCATTCCAGGGGCCCTCGAGATCACCTTCCTAGCCATTGTCAACCACTGGCTATGCGCTCCGCTCCAGACATTTCAAATTCGATTGTACGGTAGAATTAAGAGCATCGTATGGTGTAATGGCCATTCGCGTGCCAGCCTAATCTGGAGTACTGATCAGGGAAGGCAGTAACAGAAACCATCAAAGCTAATAATTTTGAATATATATATCCTCCATACTTTAACTTTACGGCTTTTCGATTCCTTTCCTTAATGTTATCAAAATCATACAAAACAAATCCAATAAACAAACTCCCATTAACACCAGCTGCTCAATAGTCTCATAAAGTTTGATATCCTTAGGATCCCTATTTGTCACCCCTTTTTTGCTTTTTTTTCTTGATCACTCACTAAGCTGTTCAGCGCAAGAAGAGCTCCAACGAAAGATAAGCCAGCTCCTCTTAGTTCGCATTTCAGAAGAATTTATCTGTATCTTGGAGTCTAAAAACTTCTTGCACCAATTGTCCAGACAAGAGCCTAAGTTTGAAATTTTGAAAATGCCGCTACTTTTTACACAATTCGAGAGCGTCTAATTGCAGAAGGAATAAACCAGCAAATATAAAGCTTGCCCAACCTTTCTGATTTGTAAAAGCCCTGAAGCTATGCCAAATCATATAAAACCAATGTATTCTATCCCCACCCAGGAACCAATGTATTATAGCCTCATCAGGCCTGCGATTCGTTGGAAATCCATCGATCGTGTCGGAAATGGGCCTTAATCAAGGACTTGAACCATAAAATTGTAAAAACATGTGTATCGGCCACAGACTTGATTCGCAGTTGAGAGTGTGTGGGCGACGGCAGATTTGAGGGATGACAAGGAGTTTCGGATTGTAGAGGTGAAGTGTAGGGTAAGTTGTCGATCGAAGAGTGTATCTTCAGTGCAAGGTATCGAAAGTATCAAATTCGAATTCAAAAGCTTTGATGGTAAAATTTAAGGATAATCGACTTCGAATTATGATTTTGGAATCAGAATCAGAAATCTCTTCAAGAACCTATTCCCTGCGGAGGTCGCCATGAAAGATTTATATTGTAGGTTGAAGAGGATTGATATATATATATAGTGAAAGTGAAAGTATATATAGCCCCACTACAATCGCACCTGTCATGTTATAGAGCCTAATATCGCTGATCACTAAGTAGCAGGATTCTAGATTCTAGTGGATTAGGCCTATTCCTATATAATACCTTTATCGTCAGTTATAACCCTATCTGCAAACTTACCTAAAAGAGGAGTCGAATATCAAACCCTGAAAGCCTTAAAGAAACTACAAAGTAACATTCTTCAAACTTCAAAGACAAACCCCGCCCCGATGATATCTATATCTGTGTTATTTTCGTTCAAATTTATTTATTGTACCAGTGAATATCTACATTTCAGCGTCTTCCCGGGTTGACCTCGGCGCTGGGGTCTAATCTAGATCTTCTCATTTACTACGTCCTCCTAGTTCTTTATGATGCTCTGTTAGTCCAGGTTCTTCGGGGCAGAAGCTGGTTTTAGAATCACAGAAAATTGAGGATCTGAAGAATATTGGGACTAGTAATCTGAAATTCTCACTTTCTGGCTTATAATAATAGTAAAATAGGATATATACTAAAAAGCTATCAAAGATTCTAGGCTAGGTAAGAAAAGAAAGAAACCCTCACGCCCTCTTCCATCTTCCCCTTCTCACCCCCCACTTCCTCTTCGACCGCCTTTGGTGATACTATGTGCGGTCTGCTAAGCTGGAATCCCACCGAGCAGGTGGATAAATCCGCAGCTTAGAATATATAAAAAAGAAATAAATGGGTATATGTAACGGTCTAAAAGAAATATAAAAATAAAGGCCATTATACAACAATCTCATTTCCCTGCCCCGCCTTGCCCTGCCCTGCCCTTCTCAAACACAACTATCTCGATCCTGGTCGCTAGAAAATAATCTAAGAAGGGTTACATTGCGAATACCAAATACTGTAGGCAACACAAGTTGTTCCAGGAACACAGACGGTTCCTCCATTCCAGCCCTGACCACCACATTGATTCCATTCATTAACAAGTCCGCTACCACCAGTCGAAGTGGGGGTCGCACTAGTAGTTGTCACAGTTGTGAGAGTCGTACCCGGGGTTGTCGTCGTAGCAGGAGTAGTAGTATATGGGGGTGTGCTAGTAGTGGTGCTGGTAGTAGTGCGAGTAGTAACTGGTACCGTAGTCGCCGGGGTCCCAAGGTCTGCATTGATCGCATCGAGATATCCAGCATTTGCGTAGAGTTGACTCATATCCCACATCATCACACCACCAAAACTCGAGAAGCTCTTGGAATACGCAATGACGCTTGCAAGAGCTGAGCCAGTAGTATAGCCAGCACCAGCACCAGTGTTAGCGGGTATGCCGAGCATGACTTTGACGTTGGGGTTGAGGGACACGGTCTTGGCCCAGTTGTCCCATGTATCGAAGTTAAAGTTATTTTGGGTGTATGAGCCAGGGACAAAGGATTGGACTCCGCAGTAGTTGTTGTAAAATTGCACCCAGACAATGTCGAATGATACTGCTCCATTGAGCATGGGTCCGTCTGCTGCGTCAGGGTACGGGCATTGTGGAGCGGCAGATAGTAGCCATGTTCTGGAATTATCAGTGTCCATCAGTGAGCGAAGTTGATTCGCGAATGCCGGCATGTTTGATACTGTGCTTTCAAAGTCAAAGTCAAAGCCATCAACAACAGCAGTACCAAATGGTCGGACTACTCCTGACCTGTAGGGTCCAAACCATGACCAAATATTATTCGCGGCGGTTATGGCAGCTGCTGTAGACGTAAAACCACCTTCAGTGTAAGTGGCCCCCCCAACCGAGAGTAGAATTGTCTTGTTATATGTTCGTTGGCATGTAGTTATGTCGGCTCTATAATGAACTTTAGACTCTGTATGGGATCCAAATATGAAGGAGAGCCTGTACTTACTCGAGTTCTGAGCAGTAAAAGAGTGTAGATCCTGAGATCGCTGTACATAAGTCTCCTTGGTTGGCAAAATTGAGAACCGGCGTGTTGATAGAATACAAGAAAGCCAATGGGATGATCTATAATTCTCGTTAGATTAGTTCATGGAGATTAATATGTGAGGGTGTTCGTACATCAATCTCCGTATCTGTGTCATGTTAGCTTTGTTGGTAAATATCAAGCTTTCAGAACTTACTTGCGCAATAATATGAAAGTCGCTGTTGGACATAAGCTCCAGAGCCCTGACCATACGAGTTTTGTCCTATCCCGTGTCAACTGGAAATTCTTTCATGGTAGAAAGTTTCAGATTAGCTCACCCCAATACACAGCCACGTTGGTCTGGGAAGCCGGATTGAAGCCCGCTATCACGGAAGGAATACTGGTGATAACGCTCACGAAAGGAGCGAGCTTGGAAAGCGAAATCATGATTGAATGATTCTATAAACAGAATAAGATTCGGAAACTTCAAAAAAGTTCAATGATGGAAGGTATTGATGTGGACTAGAGTCTTGAGTTGTTTATTCGGACCATTCATCACTTTAGCTGGAGTAATCGACCTTCTTATACTCGTGTCACCTCATTTCCACCGTCAATAACAAGATGTCCACGGCGCAGCGAATTTGTGGTTCATCCAAAGTGACCAAGTGTTACCCACTTAATTTGGGTTTCTAAACCGCAACATGTCAATCGGGTGGTAACTTTACGTCGACATCTTGAAAGGTAACAGGTCAAACGACAATATTGACAATATCCAAGACTGGGGTTCCCACATTCCAATGACTAACTGCCACTCCAGACTCGCACAGCCCATTGCTAAAGGAGGTAAGGGATTACCAAAATGACTTCTCAATGAGGAATCCAATATCCGCCGGGTTGAATTTTCATACCTCCCTTGGATTGAAAATGTGATATAAGCCTCCTCGGGGACAAGAGAAATTCCAATCACCATCACGGACGCCGAACCTGAAGTAATTGAAGATTTAAAACCACGAGCGATGGTGCATGTCAGAGGCACATGGAATTACATTTTCCCGGCACATGCAAGCTATTGAATATCAAAATACGGAAGGTAACCTTCGTGCGTGATAAAATGCCCGACCGATCGTCAGGGGGGAAGATTGCCGATGAGCCACTTGGTGGGATGAAGGAAAACAAGGATGTGTAACGCAGCTGTTGAGGGGAAAAAGATTAATCTCGAAGGTTTCAATGAAACGAATCAAAGAAGCTTATTGTAACGTTACTCGATAATATGATCATACAGATTGTATACAGTCGAGTCAGCCTTGGAAGAGATTCCAAGAAAAGTAGATGTCAAATGTTTCAACTCGTCAAGCTTCGGTCAGAAGACTTCTGCCGATTGAATGAATGATCTGATTTCGCCGATAGCTATTGCGATAAGCAGATAACAAGTATATATGTACACAGTACGTGTGGAACATGAAGACAGTTTGACTCCTTCCTGCTAATAAGTTGTCATGTCGATGTTCCACGAGATATATGTTCATTAAATTCAGTCAGGCGTGTCGGGTAACATCGCAAGAACAAACGGTTTAGGGAGAACTTCGGTATTACTAATCCGGCTCTAGCCATTTTGAGAATGCTAATGTACTCCTTTCTTTTGGTGTCGACCGTGTTTTGGGCTTCAGTTGAAATGAAGTCAGCTCGTGAAAGAATAGACGTGCGAAGAATCATCGCAAAGCTTCAATATCGACTTTTCCTTGTTTCGTCAATATCTTGAAGATATATCACATGTAAGACTTACAACTACCGGCGTCAGATGAGCTTCTACCCCACAGTGTTCGAGATGAGCTGCTTCATACAAGATAAGATGATAAGTAGATAGTAAGTTATCCAAGCGATGGGAAGAGAGCCCGAGATCTTGGCTTGTTACCTCCTCAACCTGGTATTCTTCGACATTAGTGAACTAACTGTCAAGTTGGTAGCACGTGATAAATGGTGCTGAGGACTACTTTCGAGTTGGAAGTGCTTTTAACCAATTTAGCTAAGGTGGAAACCTAGGTGTCATCATTTTTAAGTCTGGAAGTTGTAAGTTTGAGTCTAAAAGGACTACAAAGCTTAAGTGTATAAGTGGTTAAGTCTCGGCACACATATATTAGGGAGGCTGCGGTGTAACGTGATCAACAAGCGCCTACCTTTGATGACTAAACATGCTTACCTCACCCGCAAAACCAAACTTCATCTCAATCCAGCTTTAAGCATTCATTACTTTTTAGAAAGAACATCAATGCAAGCGTGAATACGGAAAGAACACTGTTTGCCTCAAGGAATTCATAACTGATCATAAATTACCGCAAACTAGATATTAATACTACATTACTCGTACAGCATGAATCATAAAGCTTCCACATTACAATGTGCTACTGCATCCTCATCCTCGAGCAACACAAATCTCGATAGACCGGGCTCTCACGTTAAGGAAAGGGCCGAGCTATTCTTTCCAGTGATAATCGCAGTACTAAGATATTTGTGCCGCATTCAGCTATTCACACGTGTATGATTGAAACAGGACTTGCGGATCCTTCACGCAAGGTTTGTTCGCTCTGAAGGGGTTTCAAAGGAGACGAAATTTTCATCGTCACTGAAGCGTTTGCTATCCCCGAGCTTGCAGGCTTGATTTCCGCGCTCACTGTCATGGCAGTCATTAATGTCAAGGAATTGGAGTTAATTGGGCCGTCTGTCCTCACATTCTTCAGACTTTTCATCCACAAGCAATCTCCGCTTCGGATACGACAAGAAACCTTGCCATATCTAGTATGTCAATATCCCTAAAGAGCTCTGTTTTCTCCCTATGCTCTTCGTCGAAAGATCAAGTTCACCCCTGCTCTATAGGCTCTGAATTTATCTAAATGCTCTACATTACCTTTGGCAATTTGTCAGCGTGCGAGTTGGACTTCATGAATTGTGGGAAATATGATGCGCCCGCAGTCACCTGAGACCTTGAGCACGTTTCGTTGCATAAGACTCATATATCAGAGTAGCATCCCCATGTTTCAAAGTTTGTTGAAAATATCTAGAAAAACGGGGCAGTTATCACAAAACCAGATCCAATAAACGCAGTAGCTGCCTTTCATCGTAGTATATTTTCCGGCGAAGAGACACGTCGGAGCTTCGTAAAGGCTCGAAAATTCATTGATGTAAATATTTCTCCTCTTTGAGCTATTAGTGATGCCCAAAATCATCAGCCGCATGTTGATTCCCCAATGACGGAAGAGTTACACTGTGCCGTTCTCTTCTTTTATGACGTGTTAAACAATTTTGCTGCTGGTGCTTGCTATCAAGATGGACAGTGCTGTCTTTTGATGCACGTACCGCGGAATCAACCCCTTTCGACGTGCCACCGTAAATTTATTCCTGCGCCGTGTTCATTATCCGTTCAGATTGTTCAATCTTAGTTTTCTTCGCTGCATCGCAGCTTCTTTCCTTTCCCCTGCTGCGGCCTCGATCAATAGACATGCATTGCCTAGTAAAAGCTGCGCCTTGTAAATGGTAGTTGGCAGCAAGAAAAATAATCAAGTAAATCACCATTACTCAAGACACTAGGACTGAATTTACCTGTTCAGCTAAACTCACCGCTAACGTGGGTTCACATCTAAATCTTTCATCATGGCAATGAAAGGTGAAGAAAGTCACGCCCTTGGACCGTTTTGTAGAAATACAATGTCGTAGATGAAATCTACCTATTATTGTCAAATGTATTGAGTAGCACCCCCTGACTTGGTATATCTGAGCCGATGGACCTTGAGGCCTGTCCATACAAGTCATTTTTCGCATTTAATGGTTGAAAAACGGTGGAAATGAACGTGCCGTGCAAAACAAAAGAAAAGAAGTCGTTTCAGAAAATATCCAGATGCGTCAACCCACAAAGCCCACTACCATCCTGCACATTCACCAAAGAATAGCATCCGAAATATCGACCAAGATCGCCCACTTCACCTTCATATTCAAAGTTCCTTTCATCTCATAGTACTACGTCGCAATCATCATTCGCATCTTTTGGTTCATCAAGAGACAAGCCATTCAATGCCGACATCAACGCATTTTCATCCCTGATTTGTCGTTCTCTCATTCTGGTAGTACGTGCCTGGTATTTCTGCTCGTACATTTCCTGCCTTTGCCTTGATTCTGGCCCAGTCCTGAAAACAACTGCCCTGGCAGCCAGATCGGCATAAGCAAGCCTTCTTCTCTCCTCGAAATTGTGACGTTCCATTAACCTTAAATATAGCATGTACGGCTCTTTTTCTCCTTCCTTTGAGTTTCTCTTTCTAACTTTGTTAACTGAGCCGTCGAATAGGTTGGCCCGAAAGATGGTGTCGCCATTCTTCTTCTTCTTCTTTGTTCTCTTCGGCTTTGCGTTCGTGTTATCGACAGCGTTGTGGTTTGTTTCTGCTTGTTTGCGCTTCTTTTTGGAAGGATTCTGGCTGTTCAAATTACTAGCTTGAGCACGGAAGATTCGTCTCATAGTCCTTCGCTCATTTGCAAACCTTGGTCCTATGAAGGCTTCGTTTGCGACTTCTTTGCTCTTATTAATGGCTTTGTCTGTGGCGGATTGTAGAGCCCGGACAGTTGGTTGTAACATGTGTGCCAGATCAGCTTGCTGCTGAATCTGGCCTGTATTAATGGATGATTGCATATTTGACTTTAAATGACTGATTGAACTGTTTGTGGTTTTGCCCATAGGATAGTCGAGCTCTGACATGGTAATGTCATCGTCGGTCGCATTATTATTGCCTGATTGGCGCGTTAGATAATTGCAAATAGAACTCATAACTATTGGGGTGTCTCACCACTAGCACCCGTAGAAACTTTGAGGGTCTGAAGACTGATCTTAAGAGAAGCAGCTTGAGTTCTGTTGTTCTTGGAGTCGCGATCTGCATACTCCGCGTGTAGTTGCATAGAACTGCTCTGATTCGGGGACAGAAATGTAGGGAATTGCTTCACAAAGATATCCATGCTGTAGCCCAAGTTGTTGGTTGTATGTAATGGTGGATGACTCTCGGATTTGTAAGTCTTAAGAGTAATGTGGAAGCAATAGACTCCAGGACCCGTTGTTTGTATTTCCTAGAATAGCTCGCCAAATACAGGCAGCAATTACTTCAGCTGCAATTCACTTTTCAAGCTTTTGTGCTGTAGTCTCGTCACAAGATCTGATCTCTGCCGCAACTCACTACCACCGATCTTTTCTCTCTCCAATACAAGCGTAATAGAGATGCCACACTTTCCTAATCAATAACATGTAACCAAACCACGCTCAAAGTTGTTGGTAAATAAATAATACATTTTGATCAAGTGGACTTTGGAAAAATTCACTGGCACCCTGCTGCCTGCTAATACTTGCGAAAAGAGAAGTTGTCTAACATTCCTTACAGAACTTGGTGATCATCTACATTAATGGTGAGATATCCCTTTGGTATTCTATACTAATCTGACCTTGTTGTTGCAGTAAAGCATTGCTTATACGTATAGAATTGATTCCACTATACGTTGAGTACAGACCGCCCAACTACTTTGCCATGAGTTTCAGAGTGGAATAATAACAGCCAGCATTGGGCCTTCATAGCTAACCGTTAGAGGAATCATTGATCTCTCATTAGTAGCTCTCATAGGTATGACACAATTTAGTAAATGAATTTTTGACATCCCCAACAGTAGAAGCTCACAATGGCATCGAAGTTCCAAACAGTAGGTAAGGTCTGAATTACAAAGGGGCCATTCGATGATGGAAATGCGTCAACTCGAGTTGAAGTCAAACTACAACGCCATTTCACTAGCGCTAATCTAATCTTGTTTAGTGATGGGAGTAGAACATTTACTTCAACGGGCATCAGCTCTAGCAACTGCACTTGCGTTTGCTATGGGTCCGTTTTATTAGGATTGGACATTGGCTGCCGTGGCAGAAAACTTGTCTGGTCTTACTGTGGGTGATAATCTTTATGTTGTGCTAGAGGGGTAATTTTCCCTTGGCTTTTCAATTCTCTCAATACCTGAATTCTACGCAAAAAACTTGAACCTATTTTACACCACCTCTAAATGTCATCAACCCAGTGAAAGCAATGAAGCCGTTAGAGTCTAAACACAACGATATAATACAGCGTTTGACCAATACATTTTCTGCGAATAGTGACGCGTCACTATGTTCCACATATATCTGCAACAATCTGCAGGCTTAGAAGTAGTTTCCATGATCCCCATGTTTCCCCCTCTCTCGCGTCCTCGCACTGCGGGTATTTCACGATGACGAAGCTTTTACATGCTCGACCGCGTCATCTAGAAACTCAGCAACGATAACATACAATAAACTCTTTTAAAAATGTAACTGATAATGGATTAGGTATTGGGGTTTTCAAATTCCCGCAAAGTTAATGAATAATCTAAGATTGAAAAACACTTTAATTTATCATCGAGCTTCTTAAAAATAATTGATAGTTTCAATGATTTTTGTACATTTCATTTATAATAATAAAAACAAAATTCTGATATTTTATTTAAAGTTTTGAATATACTTATATTCTTTTTATAATATTATTATATATTATTGAATAATTAATAATAAAAAAACTTTTTAATATTTATTAAAAGTTATAATATAATTATTAATATTAAAAAATTTTATTATAAATTTTATTTTTCTTTTGATATCTAAAACAACATCACTTTCAATAAACAAGGTATTGAAAGTTAAAAGTTACTGTAAGGGGTATTTACCGTTCATTTTACACACGTCTCGGCAGTGTCACTCCGCCAAGTCAAGGTTGTCAACACAAAAGAAGATTAGCGCGAAAGGATGTGGGGACTGCTTATACATCAAAAAGCATCTTAAAAGCCGACGCGCGATTGATTGTTCAGCGTGCTTGCTCAAGGTTTGTTTCATTGAAGACGATGATGAACTATCAATTCAGAATTAAAATGATAGTCAACAATCATTTTCAGGAAGTATATATGGCTATGCTGGGAATCAATTCTCTTCTGATCAGAGAAATCACATTTCTACTTATCTTTCCTAGCAATCTCAACATACACAATCCATAAATCTATTCTGATTATTAAAATCTTTGAAAATGGCAGCTTCCAACCAAACTCAACGCATTTTCATGACTGGCGCTACCGGTTACGTCGGTTCCATCATCACAGAACTCGCCATAGCACAAGGCTATAAAGTACATGGGTTATCTCGAGCTGAGTCTGGAGACGCCAAGTTACTCAAAGCTGGTGCGGTACCAGTACGTGGGGACCTTACCAGCCTTGATACCCTGCGTAAGGAAAGCTCCGAGGCAGATATTGTTTTGCATCTTGCAACTGCCTATAATCGAAGAAGTCCCGGCGGTTATGATGCCGCTTGGCCAACCGACAAGGCCGCAATTGAAGCTATTGCAGATGGATTAGAGGGATCCAACAAACCATTAGTTGTAACTGGTGGTGCGCTATTCGTTGCTCCAGATCCAAATGGTGGAGAGACTACCGAAATGTCTCCGATGGATTCAAATCCTTTCAATACTCGAGGTAAATCTGAACCTCATGCCCTTGATTTGGCGAAGAAAGCTATTCGAGTTATTGCCATACGTCTGGCTCCATGGGTCTATGGAAGAGGGGGTAGTGGAGTCAAGTTATTCATGGATATGTCTAAGAAGTCTGGCGCAGTAACATGTGTCGACGGTGGAAAAAGTCGTACATCGACCGTTCATGTGGACGATGTGGCTCGACTTTATCTGTTAGCTGCTCAGGAAGCTAAATCGGGGGAGATTTTCAATGCTAGTTCGTCTACCGTTGTTACTTTCCATCAAATTTGGGAGGCTATGGCTACTGCATTGAATTTGCCATTGAAAGATCTTTCCATGCAAGAAGCTACTGGGACGGTAGGCCCGGTTCTTGCAAAATTTATCTCAACAGAGAATAGGGCATCTGGAGCTAAGGCTAGAAATGTACTAGGGTGGAAGCCGAGCGACGCTAATATACTGGAAGAGATCCGTTCTGTGGCTTCTCAAATCTAGGAGTTGTAGTGAGTGCACCATGAGGCCTTGATGGAGAACAGCCTCAAGAATATGTATTAGAATGTAGCTATTGATTTAAATCATTTGATCTTCAAAATCAGGCGCACCGTGGAATTTCAATTACATTACTGATCTTTTCATGTTTTGCTAGACTTTGAAATATTGTTCACCTTGAATTTTCCGATGCTACTTTCCCGAGTCACTAATCATCACATAGATATTAATTCTTGATCTTAGTAAGCAAAAAATTCTCGGTCATTTACTTGAAGAGTGACACATCATTCATTTTCAATAGTGACTCTCAGATTTAGGAGTGTGTTATTACGACACCGAACAAATCAGACGTGAAGAAAGTTCATACCTTAAGTGCCTAGGTAGTATGACGTAATTATATTCTGAACATCAATACAGATAATGTATATATAAATCCTATGCGTCCCCATATGCCAGTGTATCCAATAGTTTGGACCGCAATCCAACAATTAAGAGCTTCTGGATTCCTGGATTAACTTGGGATATTGAAATGAATTAAATTACCATCTAGAATGCTTTCCGGGTAGACAACTACAGTACCACAAATAAAGGGAAGATGAAGGCAAAGAAGACCATGCTAGAAAATATCACTATATGATGGAAACTTCTTAGTGGCTAGAGTATATACTTGCATTTAAATATCTCGAATTCAGCACAAAGCTGTATGAACCTTCTTCTTCTTCATGATGCAATCTGTGTATTCAAGGAAACAGAACAATGCTGGTGAAAGAACCCTGATATATCTAACTGAAAGGCGGGAAAAGTATCTTCAACAGAAGATTAAACGAGAACCCTTTTCATCCTATATATATATATCAGTAATATTCAAAATCATCCCAGAACACTTTAGTATACTACGAACACAAGTTAAAATTCTACAAATATTATTTAATTAATGATCAAAGGCATACACAAAATCACTTCTAAATCATTTTCAATTTACCCAATTGATGAATAGATTAAAGATACATTAAACAAGAACACCTTGATAAGAGCCTTTATCAACAAACAGCCATCCATACAGCCAGCTCCTTCAATCTCAGCCGAACTATACAGAATCTTTGAAACCAGACTCGAGCTTCAACATTCACGTTCATCCAGATGTTGAAGCTTTATGTGGCGTCCTGTAAGAAGCCGAAGGAGTTTCCACTAACAGTAAGATTATCGATTGCACGTAATGATGATATACACTCCTCCTCGAGCCTGACTTTCAGTATCAATTCCTCCCAACAACATCCTCGACAACGAGCTCACATCATAGAACTCTTGTAATCTGACTATCAACAACCAACTTTCTGTCTAGGAAATCTTTATATCCCTACTTTGCAATCTAGTTTTCCACTGGTCACTTATACTTTGTATTGGTTTTAGGACTGTTTAATAATGTCTTCAGACAAAGATAACAAAGTTCATGACGTAGCCCCTTCTTTTGACCCAACATGTCCCCAGGTCCAGATATGTTTCTTGAGCCAAGCAGTACTATCAGCATTGATAGCTCTCCCGTACTTCCTCCTTATTCCTCTCCTTATTCTCCTCAACCAAATATACGCGGGGGAGCTCCATCTGCTATGTCCTCTTTCATGGTCAATGGAGCAGCGCTCATAGCTCACAGCCGACAACTAGCGCGATCGAATTTGAACATAAATGCAGCCAATGGGACAGCTTCAGAGGAATATCAATCTTTCCATCAGCCGTTCCATCAACCTTTCAAACAATCTTCTCATTTCCAGACCCTGTGCAATTTGATGGCCCTACTGATAGCTACGACGAGCTAGGCTTAAATTTTCAACGTGGTTCGATGCCTTACGACTTCCAGCCTACTCAAAACCCGAATAGTGCCATTGTGATGGATAAGGGTGGGTTTTAATCTTGGACACGACTCGAATGCTTTTGACTACTTGATTACTTCTAATTTGCCTCTTATTATCACCCCAAATCTGCAACAGGATACTATACCTACCTGGCAATCCAACAGCCTCTCTGCTTCGTGGAGGACGTCGCGCTCGCCGAGAGTCCGCTGCTTCTAGGAATGAAAGAACTCTAACTCCAGGTCCTAGGCATCGTCGACGCCTAGCGAGAAGAAATTTCTCCTGCTGCAACTTCTTCTGCCCGTTTTGCTGCTCACCACAATAGTTTCCGACGTGAAAATCGGAGAAACAGGGAGTTTCTCAAGAACCAGGTGGTTTTGGATGATCATGTTAAGAAGTGGGTAACAGTTCTTGACTCCGCTGATATGACGGTCGAATACAAAGATATATATGAAAAGATTGCATGTCAAAGAAAGTCGTTTAGGTGCAATTGTTGAAGGAAATGAAGATATGGCGATCAATGGAAATGGAGATGCGACAGTCAGCAGAACTGATGATATTATTGATATAAATGATGATGAGCAATAAATTCCTCCTGCACCATCCGCGGATCCTGGTTTCAAAGTCAGTCAACGGATTTCTTTTTGCAAAAATGGCGTATTTAATAGTCATAAATAATTTTTAATACAACGCTTAATACTCATGATTCTTTCTTTCATGGAATAGATGCGCACATATGCTTTCTTACTGACATTTTATGATACCCATTACCATAACCCGTTATTCAGTACTTGAGGACTTTTGCGTGTTGAAGTATCTTCATGTTTCTCTTTATGAAACTTTGTGCAAAGCTGACAAAACTACATATTCAAAAAGCTAGATGCATTTTCTAAAATAATTCACCGCCTGTGAAGTATCATATCAATTGGCCGTTCCGACATAATACTCTACAGTAGGAAGAATGGAGATTAAATGAATCAGATGGAGGACAAGCAAGCTTTACCGCCTGTCCTGAACACATTATCTGACGGGATACTTACAGGAGTTCTTTAACCCCAAATCTGGGGAGAAAACTCTGCTCTGCTAAAACTCAGGTCGGGGTTGAATTTATATAGTACTGGCTAGCTATCACTAATTAGACTCGACTGGCATCGAACAACGAGTATTCCCTTGTGCCTTCACTTTTCAAAGACCCCAAATGACATTTCTTTTCACTATAATTCTCACATTCAGTACTAGTTACTGCAAGTGGCGGCTACTCTGAATAATAACGACTGTCAATTTTACACACAATGCCGCAGACATGCATTGTTACCTTTATGATCAACTAGCTCGAGCTCGCTATCACTCCGAGGAATAACGCAATGATCTATTGATATATAAAAATTGTGTGAAATCTGCCCTTCACATACTTCAGAAGGAATAGACAAACTGTCATTGGCTTCAACTGATTTATTACACCAGGGATTTCTTTTGCTAGTTTAGAAAAGTAATAAAACGTTTTTAGTATTATAATAAATTTTAAAATAAAATATAAACTGATAAATAATAATTAATATTGTATTATTTGTATTCATGAATACTAATAATAATATCTAAAAATATCTTACTAGATTTATTATAAATTTCTAGGATTTAAAAATAAAGTATTTTTATCTGAGAGATATTTTTCAAAGGTTTAATTAGTTTGAATATTAAAAGAAGTAAATGACTAGATTATTGTATCTATATATATATATAGGAAATAGAGTACATCAGGTTTTTATTTATAGTATAAATTTTGAATGATGTATGAGAAGAAATTATATATTAGAGAGAGATAGAACTCATGATGTATTTGATGGGATGTGTGGAGGATTTCAATTGATGCGAGAAGAAATAAAGGACAATTTGGACATATGAAGGTTTTGTCTGTTTTTGTTGCGGCTTTTAGATGTGTCTGGATGTGAAGGGAAAGGCATTTCTTATATTAATAAAGAATATAACTATTTAAGTTTCTTCATCACTCAAACATTTGATGATGCTACCTCGATGTTTGTCAATAGTGTCTATCATATTCTCTCTCTACCAGGTAGTGCTTCCTCCGACCTCGTGGTGAAATCTAAAGGAATGTGATCAAATAGCACCACCTCCGATTCCGATTCATTATCGAGGTGGCTTCGAAGTCTCGATACCTAGGTATCAAATGACAGGAACTTTCCTCATTATTTTCTTTCGGGTATTGTAAAAGTGGTAGGTCGAGATACGTGCGTCCCGATAGCACGCTGTGAGGAGGGAATTGGAAGAGAAAGCTGAATTAGATTACATTGTAATACGTCACTTATGGGTAAAACGGGGTTCACAATGGTTTTGGGGTTGATGCTATATGGGTTCAAATGTATATATGTAGAAGGTTGATTATTGTGAAAAGAAGAGGCAAAAGGCTCTTCTTTTATATCTAACTACAGAAGGTCATGTGATTGACTAGCTAAAACCTTTATGTATTTGGCCTATAATTCCAACTTTCTCACAGTATGAAGAGTGAGGGCGTTGGGCTTTTGTTTAGCCTTATTCTTTACCGACTCGGAGTTATGGTGCTGGGTAAAGTGGTAAATGGGATTCATATAGCCAATATGATTAGGTATGATTAGACTGTGTTGTAGACCATGGAAATGAAGGATCTTGAGTAGTAAGATATGGATGTTGAGATTGAGATTGTGGAAGGGATTTGGGTTTCGTGGTTGGGCTTTTTGTTGTGAGGATGGATAAATAGGATTTACCTTGGGAAATGGTGAAATATTGATAAGGGAGGAGGAAAAGTAAATATGTATTTGTTAAAGGTGCATTAGCATAAGTTAAAGTGTGGCTTTTACTCATGTTCGCCAGATTTTGGAGGTGTTTTTACATTTTATCGAGTGATTGTAAGAAGAGGTAGACGTTTGAATAGATTTGAATGGTTCATACATCGGACAGATACCGGAGCGTTGAACTGTACTTTGAAGAAAGCAATGCAAGCGAACAACACAATGTAACATAATACCACAACAGAAGCAAAAACCCATCCCCAAAAGAGGTGATAGAATCCCATTCAATAGACCATGGTAATTTGATAATCTGCCACATCGGTATGCGTTACCATCCATCCATCCATCCATCCATCCATCCATACATACCACCTAGATGACCAACAATCCAATGACAGCAAATTTACCCCACACATACACACATACACACATACACACATACACACACACCTACATATATACACCAACCAGCCACACACTTGTTGATGGAGAAATAAACGTTGAAATAATAAGACTCTGGAGAAATATACGGAGTACATCTTTCATTTTACATGGGATTTTAACTTATTGATCGGTGTAAGGGGGAATGTACCTAGTAGTTTTCTTTTCCATGCTTTTCCCTACCTTGGATGAAAAAGATTGCGGTGAGGTTGAAACATTTTTCAGGGGAAATTCTATCAAACACGTGTTCTGGGTAGGTACTACTATGATAGTGTAGTAGTGGATTTGAAAGCTTTTGACATGTGGAGGGTGAGACGATTGGTGTCGGTATTGATGTATGTATGGATGGGAATGGTGTCAATTACGGCGAATGTTGGTGTGGGATACACCTACCTAGCACTCTTAGATGTTACCTAAACTTGGGTATAGATGCATGGGGATGTAGACAAAAATGCTGTAATCTATTGATGATCATGCTTTGGATGTTGTGTATGGATGAATGACTTATTACCAAGGCATCTATTTACTGTCCTCAGGCTAAGTCTATTGATGAATAAGGAAGAAAAATGATAGTATGAAGGAAGGGAAGTACCAATCCAACTTGCCCTGAAGATCTTATCTTTCCATCTTTCCATCTTTCCATCTTTCCATCTTTCCATCCTTCCATCCTTCCATCCTTCCATGAATAAATCGAGAATCTCTCTAGAACATCTGCGAGCAAGCAATGGAAACCCTTTTTAATACGGAGTACCACCGACACCGGCACTAGTATAAACTGTTGGCACATTTCTCAACCTCTCTAGGATTGATGACAGCAACATCCATTTATTTACCTTTCGCTTCTATTCTTCTATCGTGATCTTCCATTTTACCCCGTCCCGTCAGAACATTCCCTCCCGGTCCCCAGTGTCGCTATTATCCAATCCAATGCTCGAGATACAATCACAGTCTCCATATTGCACCATTTCCAGTCCAACTAGCCAATCTTGGGAATATCCAATATCCACTCAATTATGCCCCTCCACCCTAATAAACAACCGGACCTCAAATAGTTGCCTCGTACGGAGTTAATGAACAACTAGTTAGTAAATAGCCAAATATCGTGGATCCCATGGATGAATTTGATAGTGTCGTTAGTGTCGTTCTATGATCAGTCCCGTCCGTTCCTTGGAAAGCGTAAACTCTATTCTTCTACGAGAGTAACTCGACTCCTTTTTGCCTTTAATCTCCCCTCCAAAACCTTCCTGTCTCCAAATCACAAAATAGCTTCAATATCAATCTACATCGTCGACGAGATATTTGGAATTGAAACCGAACATCAAAACACCTCCCAAATACTTTCACACTTATTTCATTCTTACAAAGATCTTTCTTAGGATAAGTGATAAGTCGGCAAGACGCAAGCAGCATTATTACGTCACGTATTGTACGACCTGAGCATTTGCTCCGGAAAAGCTGCAAGCTGGTGGGTTGCTGTCTTATCAGAAATCGGTACTTTTGGATTGAGGTAGTAGCAATTCGTATTTCCAAGGTGTGTTCGGGATTCCTATTATCTTCTTCCTATTCCAAGATTCTTCACATTGCGCTCTTTCCTTGTGCCAACCACTCAACCACGTTCCTACCTGAAAAGATAAAAACCCAAGCAAAGTCTACTCAGATACAAGAAATCAGATTGAAGACGCGAAACTTTATCGTGTTATTCATTCTGCCTGTATATGAGCCTTTGCGACCTTTCACAAACACAATCCTATCCTCCTTGGACCCCTCCATTCACTTCATTCTACCGAATTCATACCATTCAGCTCTTCCTAAACAATCTCTTTTTATTCCCCCTATCTATGACTTTCTGTCTTTCGAATACCTTCACACATACAATTCCTAAATAATTATTTTACTCACATTTCATCATGGCAGAGAATACAAGAGACTCGTCAAGCTCAGGCTTAACGGAGTCATCAGCATCAACAGCTACCCCTCTTTTACGACCAGAAACTCTCAAGAGGCAGATCAGTCGACATCCAGCTTTGAGTCCCTCTGTTACGAATATTCCAGTCACTCCGGGCATACATTTGGGAGCATACGAAGAGAAAAAAGTAGACGACAAATCAATTGAAATTGAAGAACAAAGTTATTTCTTACACGGTTTTCACCACTCTTCCAATATGGCAAACTCCCCATCCGATGGCATGGATGGCAAATTATCGAATCAAGAAGTCCTCCAGAGACTGAGTCTATCTGCTGGCCGCGAAAGACAAGGTTCTTTATCGGACCTCGATCCACGAGCTGCGCATCCATCATTAGGCTTGACTGGAGGAATCATTTCTGCGACATTTTGTATACAACAATCATTGATGTACAGAAAAGGCTCAGATTGGGTATGTGCGGACATGTTTTGCGGGCATTTCTGGTGCTAACAATTGTATAGACATGGTCGCAAAGACATGGTGGTTCCTCTCAATTCGATTCCTTTAAATATCTTGCCTCGGACAAATCACCATGGAATCATACACTCGTTGGCTGGACTGGAGAAATTAACCCAGTCGAAGATCTTACACCTCCTGATACCCCTCCGCTTGGAGCACACCCAATACAATCGCAACCCCCACAAAATAGAGTTCCTTACAACAAGAGCTCGGCACCAGTACCAGTTGATGGTGTTACCATGCCTCCAACTCCAGTAGAAAACGAAGGATTGTTCATTACAAGTGAAGATAGGCAACGACTCGAAAAACAACTCGCACATCAAAAGCACGGAAAAGTATTCCCAGTTTGGTTATGTGATGATGCAGATACCAACGATGATGGGAGTATCTGCTTGAAAGATCAATCAAGATGGAGAAGATTCGCAGAGCATGAACTATACACTCTCTTTCATTACAAACAACATGAACCTACCAATGGTCGACAAGAACGACAATCATGGGCAGACTATTATCGAATGAATCAAAAGTTCGCTAACCGGATCCTCGAAGTCTATAAACCCGGCGACATTGTCATGGTTCATGATTATCATCTCTTACTTCTCCCTAGTATGTTGAGGCAACGAGTTCCACACATGAACATTGTTTTCTATCTTCATATTCCATTTCCCAGTAGCGAATTCCTTCGATGTTTACCAAGAAGAAAGGAGATTTTAGAAGGAGTTTTGAGCGCAAATTTGGTTGGATTGCAATCATTCAGTTACACTCGACACTTCAATTCTTGTTGTACTCGAATTCTAGGATTCCCATCAACAAGTGCAGGTGTGGAAGCATACGGTGCGAGATGTGATGTGGGAGCTTTCCCTATTGGAATTGATGCACGAAATGTTGAAAAGCTCGCTTTTGATGATTCTGCTGTCGATGTAAAAGTTGCAGCATTGAGGAAATTATATACAGGCAAAAAGATTATCGTTGGTCGGGATCGTCTTGATAGTGTTAGAGGTGTTGCACAAAAGCTCATGGCCTTTGAACGCTTCTTGGAGAATTTTCCAGAATGGCGTGAAAAGGTTGTTTTGGTACAAGTCACAAGTCCAACTAGTGTTGAAGAAGAAAGAGAGGATTCTGGAAATAAGATCGCGGCCAATGTTGCTGAACTTGTCGCAAAGATCAATGGTCTATATGGCTCTTTGAGTTTCTCTCCCGTTCAACATTACCCTCAATATCTTTCACAAGAAGAGTATCTTGCTCTTCTTCGTGTAGCCGATGTGGGTTTAATCACTAGTGTACGTGATGGTATGAACACAACAAGTTTGGAATATGTTGTTTGTCAAAAGGAAAATCATGGTCCTTTGATCATATCCGAATTCTCTGGATCAGCTGCAGTATTGGATACGGCCATTCACATCAATCCATGGGATATGAATACTGTCGCCGAAAATATTCGACTTGCTCTGGAAATGCCCGCAGACAGAAAGGCGGAGCTTCACTACTCGTTATCGGATTACATCTTTAAAAATGACATTCAAGTCTGGACAAAGAGTCTCATTCGAACCTTGATTACAAAAATTGGTTCCAACAATAATGCATTTGCAACTCCTCTTTTGGATAAGGCTTCCATGTTGGTTCAGTACAGAGCCGCTAAAAAGAGGTTATTCATGTTCGATTATGATGGTACTCTCACACCAATTGTCAGAGATCCTGCTGCAGCTTTACCATCTGATAAATTATACCGCACACTGAAAGCTCTAGCTGCTGATCCTAAAAACGCCATTTGGGTTATTAGTGGTAGAGATCAAGAATTTTTAGGACAGCATCTAGGACATATCCCAGAGTTAGGATTCAGTGCTGAACATGGTAGTTTTATGCGTCATCCAGGTAGTCAGGAATGGGAAAATCTTGCCGAGAAATTTGATATGGGATGGCAAAAGGAAGTTATGGAGTGTTTTCAGAAATATACCGAGATGACTCCAGGTTCGTAGTATCCTTCGTGATCCTTCTCTGATTTCTCACTAACAAAATTAGGCTCCTTCATTGAAAGAAAACGTTGTGCCTTAACATGGCATTATCGTCCATCGGATCCTGAACTTGGTGAACGAATGTCACGTGAATGTCAAAAAGAGCTCGAATCTACTGTTGGTAAAGCTTGGGATGTGGAAGTCATGACTGGTAAAGCCAATCTTGAAGTTCGCCCTACATTTATCAACAAAGGTTCCATTGCCAAACAACTCGTCGATTCTTATGGCAAAGAAGTCGGTCAACCTCCTGAATTCACCATGTGCGCCGGTGATGATACTACCGATGAAGATATGTTCAGAGCATTAAACAATAGTGATCTTGACAAAGATCATGTATTTACGGTTACTGTTGGAGCATCAAGTAAACCGACATTAGCTAAATGGCATCTTTTGGAACCAGTAGATGTTATTAGTAGTATTGCTTTACTTGGAGGTGGAGACACGAATGTTGCGGATTTAGGACCGATTGCTGTTGTAGAGGGAAGAAATAGAGAAGAAATGCCCACCAAGTTGGAGGCATTAGATATGGTTCCTGGAGCTCCAAGTACAGGGGAAGGAAGATGAGTGGTTAGAGTTTTTGGATTGAAGTGGATTTGACGTTTGGAATTTTTGGGGGCATAGCGTTGGTTGGTATGGATTTTAGATGAGTTCGTTGATTGGGGTGAATTGGAGGGACTGGGGTTAAGATATGATAGAGCGATGCGGTGCGATGTGAAGATGCTGATGAGCATACTATACAGAAGAGCGGATGATGATGGAAAATAAATATTCATATTAAATACCCGGTTTATAGAATTATACGTTTATTTATAGTATGCGGGAAGATGTATGATTTTTGAATGTAAAGGAGTTTTCCCGTAGGTGCGAGTGTGATTTGAGATGGAGATAAAGGGGATAGAGATGAGAGACATGAAAGTAATATAAAAGTGAATAGTGATATATAATACAAGTTTTAGAATCTACTGACTGTATATATAATAAGCGAAATAATATTAAAATCGATTGATATTTTTATTTTAAATCTTTGTTATCTTTAAATTTCCTACTACTAATGAATTCTCCCCCTCATTATCTCAATTTATTCTAGATCTATTACAATTTACCGGCACTCAATCCACTCAAACACAAACACAAACCCAAATCAATTAATTCCTCACACTCTATATATCTTCTACCCTCTATTCACTACCCAGTAACCCCTATCTATCCCTTAACCGTAACCGTAAGCGTAAGCGTAAGCGTCTCCTTGGCCAAAAAAGTCATAGTAGCAGTAGCAGTAACACTAACCGTCTCCGTCGCTCCCCCAATACAACTACTCATACTGCTAATCTTCCCATTACTTCCCACTCCCAAACAAATATTATCATTATTATTATTTGTCCCTCCTGCGCTACTTGCAGCTGCAGCTGCACTTGTACTACTCGTGTCCTCGTATGTATTTGTCTCTCTAGGTGCTGGGAAATTGAGAATTGTTGTTTCTATTCCTTTTCCTCCTTTTCCATCTGCATCTTCAGCCGAAGTACTGGTACTGGTACTAGTACTAGTACTTAGCACAATGATCGAAGTAGGACTAGGACTAGCTATAGGTGTAGGAGTGAAAGTAGAAGTAGAAGTAGAGATAGGAGTCGTCAGCGGTAATCCATTTCCGGCGACAATAGTAGCAGCTGTTACAATAGCGCTCGTGATGATTATTTCAGTGGTTTTGCTTGTTGCGCTGGTGTTTTGGTTGTTTCCGGATCCATTATTCCCATTTTTACTAGTTTCGTTTTCGGTGCCGGAGTTGGAGTTGGAGTTGGAATTGGAACTGATCGTTACGGGAATGATGGTTAATGCGGTTATGGCTCCATTATTTGCATCTGGTGTGCTCACGCTGATGAGTGTTGTGGTTGGGATGATTTGGGTGGGTTTTGGTGGGTCGGTGAATTTTGGTGTTTTGGTGGTTTGTGGGATTGTGGTTGCGGGGATTGTGGTTGCGAGGATTGTGGTTTCTTGGATGATTGTTTCTTCTACGGAGGATGCAGATGAAGAAGATGAAGATAAAGAGGAAGTAGATATTGAAGTAGGTGTTTCAGTAGCACTAGAAAAAGATTCTTTCGTTTTTGTTGATTCCTTTGCTGTTGTCATGATGATCTCTGCGGTACTAGCAGGTTGCGTTGTAGGCAGTTCGGGGAAAATTATAGTTTGGGCTTCTGAAGAGGAGGAGGAGGAGGAGGAGAATGTTGATGAAAGAGATGTTATCTCTGATGTTACGACCAAAATTGTTGTAGGCCTGGCTGTCGACGAGGGGAAAGCAATCTCTGATGTTTTCACTTGAATAGATGAAGTTGATGAAATTGATGATGAGGACGAAGTGGAAGATGAAATAACTCCAAGAGTGGAAGAAGGAACAACAGTCGTTATATATACGATTGTTGTTTTGAGGGCATTGCTTGAAGGTGATTCAAGTGAAGACTTTGTTGTTGAGGCTTGAGGAGTAAAGGTTTGCTCAGTCGGTCCCGTTTCTATTGGCTCTTGACTTGAAGTCGTACTAGACTCCATATTTCCAGTACTTTGCACTCCAACCGTACTCGCTGAACTTCCCCCAGTCGACAAGGCACTTCCGATGGAAATGGATACTGTTCCAGCAGTACCAAGTGGCACCGTAATAGGAGACAATGTCACCCTTATGGAAGATTGAGTAGTGGTTCCAGAAGTCTCAGTCGTAATACCAATCGTGGGTTTGAAACTTGGACCCGAATTACTGGAAATTGGTGCAGTGCCTACAGCTGCTGTACTTGAATTTCCGATAATAAATGGGGCTACTGATATGGTTGGTGATGATGGAGATGATGAAGATGCTAAAGTTACTGATCCAAAACCCTGTGATGATTGCTCGAAAGAACTTTGCTGTGTAGTACTAGCTTCAGGCAAGGTAGTCGGAAGCGGTGGAAAAATTGTAGTTTGTACAGAAACCAGACTCGATATTGAGGAGGTACCCGATGCGGAAGAACTTTCCGATGAAGTACTACTATCAGGCAAGCTGGTAGGAAGTGGTGGGAAAATTGTAGTTTGTACCGAATATAAACTTGACAATGAGGAAGTACCCGCCGCGGAAGAACTTTCCGGTGAAGTAGTACTACTCGGCAAACTAGTAGGAAGCGGCGGAAAAGTAGTAGTCCGAACAGAAGGCTGACTCGAAGAAGAAGAAGAGCTAGCTTTCGACTCAGACGCACTCCCCGATGAACTCTGAATTGAAGTATCGCTCTTCGTAGAAGATGCTTTTGCAGTTGATGCAGGAATGAATGGTGGAGTAATAGTGAACGTTAATTCTGATGCGGCAGCATCTCCAGTCTTTGTTTCGGTATCGCTTGCGGTACTCGATGTTTGAGATGGAAATGAACTTGTTAATGCCAGAGTTGTACTGTCTGTACTTGATATAATCGAGGATACTAAAGCTGATTGTGTCGAGGATGTTGAAGAAGCCAATGGAGTCTTGGATTCATTATTTTCATCTGATGATGTACTAGAAGTACTCGCCGTGCTTTGAGGCCCTGTCGTTTGAGATCCGGTCGTTTGAGATCCCTTCTCTGATTGTACTACTGAAGTTGCAGAAGTGCTACTCGATAGTGTCGAAATAACCGTCGCGCTAGGAATTAAAGCTGAACTTCCACCTGTCGTAGAGGATGATTCGATTTGAGTCGTAGAACTGATCGTTGAAGAAGTGAATGTACCAGGTAAAATCGTAATTACAATGGCACTCTCACTACTTTCCTTTCCCCCATGGCCATCTCTTATAAAACTATCACGGAATTAAATCAGCATCATCAAACACACAAGTAAAAAATCATCTGTGAAAAATCAAGAGTATCGCACCGAATAGAAGAGAACTTACTTCCTACTCGTCCCATTGCGCCACAACGGACCAGCCGAACTTAGTTGAGAAAAGAAAAGTGCAATAAAAAGAAAGATTGGTGATGAGATCTTCATAACTATATTCGTGGTATTTGAACTTAGGAAATATTTCGTGAAACGCAATTTTTAAGATCCAAAGAAAAGCTAGATGGGTGTGTATATGCCTATAGAAATAAATATGAAAAAACGCAGATATTCAATAGGTATGAAAAGAATAATGATTAACAATCCCGAAATCAGCAAAGAATGTGTCGAGTTAGAGTTGTGAATGAAATGGCAAAAAAAAGGTTAAAAGAATGAAATAATCAACGATAGACAAGACGAAGGAGGCAAAGAACGAAATTGAGAAATAAGGAAACAAATAATCAGCAAGATAAAAAAAAACTGAGATCACAACCACACAAGTCTGGAGTCCAATCTATATACTCTTGTTCACAAAAGCGCAGACCCACGAAGGCAACCCAAGCAAAACCAATGCATGAACAACTTGGCGCTTTCCAAAAATCTCAACCCATTAACAGGTCTGTCTCCCGAAAATATAATATCTACAAAGTCCCGAACGAACTACATACACAGCCAAAAACCCCATCGAGAAATACCCTCGAACACCACATCCAATAAATGCAAACGACACAAGCTAAAACTCAAACATGACATTGGCGCTTAGTAAAATGATGCGTCTGAAAGAATGGTATTATGAATCATTTGATTGGACAGCAATGAATTCAGGGGATCCGTTTAGCGAAGAGGGGAAAGAAAATGAGTGGATGAAACGATAAGCGCGAATCAAAGCTGAAAGCTTGATTTTTTGATGCGCATGAGATGGATAATATGGACCAGTCGGATGGAAAAAGATATCGATGCTTTGGATGACTTGCAGATGAGTGTGTTGAATTATTTAATGTTGAGGCTCAATTTTCATGTTGTGCTAGGTTATGTTAAGGTTACCGAATAGTGGGTATTGGGCGGCTGCGCGCCTTGGATTGCCGGATCTGTTAAGATCCAATGATTTGAGTCTCTGTATGGAAATTGATCATTAAGTAAGGTCTAGATTCATGGTATCTATTATTAATTGAAAGATTGTATGAGAAATCTAGATCAGACGAAATAACAAGTCCAGTTTTTGTCTTGTAGATAGTCTTAGTTTTGCTTATATAAAACTTAATTTATATTTATTCATCGTTCATTCATCCGTCCGTCTATACATCTATATATTCAAGTTAATCAATATATTTACCTACTCATTTATTTATTTATAATTTCTACTTCTTTTTATAAATTTTCAAAACAAGTCAATTATAATTATATTTAATAAACAAACAAACAAGGAATCAACAAACAAATACATAAACAAGCAAGCACTCCGATACTCATGATTTTAACTATATTAATTCTGTGTAGCAAAAAGTATTCACAAGCTCATAATTCGTATACCGGATATCATAACTTTATAATAAGAAGCAGAAACTCATACTGTGCATTCCATCCATTCCATTCCATCTCACCACCGGCTGATCCTAAAAAAAAATCATTCATTCATTCACCTACCTCTCCTCAGACCTTAGACCTCATACATCCTCAAAACCATCTTCAAACAATCAAGCCACTGGAACCCGCCTGTCTCTTTCCAAATCCACCACAATCCTACTCAAATCCTTCAATGGCACCGGTTTACTCATAAAAAGATTAATGCCACTGCTATACGCTTCTCTTTGACTTTCATCACTGGCCAATCCCGTAACTGCGACAATGACAGTAGCCTTTAAATTTTCTTCCCTCTCAAGGCTTCTGATGCGTTGACTTGCCTCGAAACCATTCATCACCGGCATACTTATATCCATGAATATGACGTCGGGCTTCTTCTTTGCAGTTCTATACTGAGATACTGCCTGCTGACCATCTACCGCACAGTAGTATCGCATGTTCAATTTCTTCATGCATGCTATGAGGATTTTCATATTGATGGGATTGTCTTCGACAAGAAGCGCAATTGGTTTATCCGACACAAGTGTATCAGGCGGTAGAGACTTTTGAGCTAGTGGGGAGCTGCTCCTGGGCAAGGAAGGAGAACTGGTTCTCCGAGAACTTGGAGACATCGCAAGAAACTGACTACCATCGTGACCACTAGACCTTTCGAATATAGCAAGAAAACATTCTGCAAGCTTTTTGGGTCCAATTCTGGAATATTGTTAGTTCCAAGAACCTCAGTCTAGGGAAACCATCTAGAAAGTAGCAAGAGAGAAAAGATACATACGGATTGCTGAGGAAATGTATGTTCCGGTAATTCTCGAATAACGTTCTCCGTCGGGATTGTGCACATCCTGTCAAAACAATGATGTGCCTATTCCGAGTATCACCCGTAGCGTCCGAATAGAGATTTTTCCAACTGTTCTCCAATTCGTAGAATTTCTGAGAAGTTACCAGGAATACATCTCCCTCTGCGGCATCAAATCCAGTGGCTTCACTAGTTTTCATTCCAAACCAATCCCTAGAGATCCTAGAAATCGCTGGCCCTGCAGACCTATGATGGTTCAAATTTGAATCTACTGATTTCTCGGGTTCAGGGGTCGAAGTTTCCATTCCTATCAATACCAACTCTAGACCATCGGTATAATTTCTAGCTTTCTCAATATTGCTTGGCATTCGAGATACTTCTACAGCTTGTGGTTGGGACTTTTCAAGTTTAAGAACAACTTTAACAACGGTGCCACTACCTTGCACACTAAAAACTTCGATTTTCCCATCAAGCGCTCCTACAATTTGACGAACAATACTTAGTCCCAAGCCAGCACCAGGTGTCAAACTATCCTCCTGAGCGAACGGGATGTATATCTGACGTTTTAGAAAATCTGCCGCGATACCTCTTCCTGTATCGCTAACGGTCAAGGTAACAAACGCTAGATTTTTTCTCGACTTTGGCGACGTGGCCATTTCATAATTAAGGCTTACCTTGACCAATCCAGACGTAGTGAATTTCAATGCGTTTCCAAGTATATTCATAAGAATACGCTTCCATGCTCCAGGTTGACTTAGGAAATTCCAGTTCAATTTATGGTCAACGTCAAGGATGACAGAAAGCGGCTGTGCTTCTTCAATTCCTTGCCTGTCGGGTCTGGTGGGAGAAATTGGATGATCCATATCAGGGGTGACTGTAGATGTTGATTGGAGAGCATAAACATGCCCAGTATAAATACCATTTATAACGTCCTCTGTGATAGAGGCAATATCGAGATCTGAGGTCAAGCTGATGGCTCCATAAATCCGGAACTTTTCTGCAGAAAGAGCTTTTCGTGTTCTGGAAGAACTGCGTATAGCTTTTTGTTCGCTCTTTTGTGCTACCATAAAATTGTTGATTTTTGCATAGTCCAGTACGTTATTTAGCGTATCAAGTAGTGTGGCAGAACAATGGCCAATAGTATCTACCACATCCTTTTGATATTTAGTAATCTGGGTATCCTGTAAAAGTTCGATGCTTCCAGCAATTCCATGAAGAGGACTGCGTAATTCGTGACTAATGGATGATATCAAAGAATTTTTGGTCTGATCAGATGTGATCATATCAAGACGGGATACTTCAGCCATGATACTGTTCCCGAAAGCAGCCACGTAATTCAGATCATCATCCAGATTGAGAACTCGAGTTGGATCTGAAGTCCAGAGCATAGCACTAGCAAACCAGCGCTCACGCTGTGAATCCCATAATGGTAGAACCAATACATACCTGGCACCGGGAAATATCTGTAGCATAGTTTGACCCCCCCAAACTCTGGGGGATGCCTTTCTAAGCAGTGAACTATGACCGGCATCGGCAATAATTGCTATCTCTCCAGTGGCGGCGGCGTCGTGAAGGTCATCTTCGCTTGATGACATTTGACCTTCTCCATCAAAGGCATAAACTTTGCCATGAGGATGGCGCTTGAATAGGCGGCGAACAAAATTTTCTGTGACAGTCAAATGCTCTGGCAAATTTGAGTCTCCATGCAATGTACATTGTGATGCCGTAGAATATGCTAGTACCTCACACATGCGAGTTTGTAAGGTTCCACCTTTCTGGGCTGAATCCTTGTCATGGCTCTCATGTTCGGAGTTACTATCCGAGGTATTAATACGCGAAGAGGTCCTTTGATCATCTTCACTACTGGATAGTGGTCGCCCATCATGCAGACTGGTAGTCCTCCCCGGATTAATGAACGATGATGAGCGTCCCCGAGACCCAAAAGAACTTTCCCTAGCATCAAAGAATAAAACTCCTTCTACATCTGTAGACTCACGCATCAGGTTACTAGCGCGAGAAAGCATTCTTTTCAGGGTTTCGGCATTGTCGGAAACATCTCGGGTACTGAAATCATCCTCCGGCGTGTCTTTTCCACCCTCTGATGGTTGCCTTTCATTGTGTAACACCAGCGGGGAAGGCTTGATAAATTCTCTTGCCGCCGAGACTGGAGATTTATAAAAAGAATCGCGAACTGGAACCGGAGTGAGAGGGATAGGTTGGTCGACCTCTTCCTTAGCAGCGGGCGAATTTTTCCTGACATGAATAGAAGAAAAAGCAGACGGTTGATAATTTTCTGTCTTGGATCTAATTGATATATCATTGCGAAGACTGTCAGAATGCGAGATCGAGGAGGGAATTGGGGGGCTCGGTATGTCCATTTCTTGCGATTGTTCAATAAACGATAAATCGGCCTCAGTACTTGCATTTTCGTAATCTGCTTTGCTAGTGTCCGCAAAGACATCTGCTTCTCCGAAATCCCTTGTGGGTTGCGAGTAGCTCTCCCGAACAGATGTCTGGCGATAATGTCGAGTACGCAGCCACCAAGATTTAATACTAGAATGACCTTCTACAAACAGTCCTAATCCCTTCACCATCTTCTCGCCTCTCTGGTGGTCTCTTTTCACGGCAATATACTCAAGATGGTCCATCACAGTATCAGTAATATCAGTTAAAAACTCCAATTCTTCTGGCGCCAACCCACTCCGTGGAACATCGTCAAATACACTATATGCCCCAATGTCGAATCCTCTTCGAGAGCGTATTGGCACAGTAGCCACAAACCGAATATTTGGACCTTGAATAAGATTGAAAGCATCTGTGAGGGTCTCGTCATCAGCAAGATCGTTTATAACTTTTGGTATGACTTTCGGCCGAAAGATGTCGTCGCGATTGTTTTCTGATCGCGGCGTATTTATAACAGCAGAACATAATGAATCTTTGCGAGATATTGTTCTTACGCCCAACCATAAAGAATCCCCGGCATCGTGCACATCGTCATCCTGAGATGATAACGTTCTCGTCGACTCGGCTAGAATGTATTCATGCGTACGATCAACCAATGAGATCATAACCCTCCTTGCTTTTAACCGTAGAGCACCAAGTTGTGCGAAGGCATTGAGTGCCCGGTCCGAGGAAGAATGTGCCTTCGGTGATAGGCTTGGACTTTCTGCATTTTTGCCATCTTGTTTGGGCAAGGGAATGAGGGGTGCGGCGAACGCGGGGAGATATCTAGAAAGTTCAAGATTAGTTTCAAAAATTACAGGAAGTGATGAGCTGAACGTATCCAACTGACCTATAGACCTCTCGAACTCGTTGAACTTCTGAACCCCTAATAGGTGTCTCCGAGCTGGGCTCCGCTGGCATCGCAGCTGGAGGCGAATTAATGTGATGTTTACACAATTGCCATCCTCAAATATAAGGTTCAATCAGCAAAGGAGCTGTGGAGGTAAATATATAAACAAACTCAAGTACAAGGTCACTGCGATTGGTAGAAGTTGAAGAGAATGGGTAGAGTCAATAAAAGTAAACGATCATCAAAATTCACCTCACTTCAAGGGACCAAAAAGATTGGTGAAAAGCCAATAAGGCAAAGGAAATTTTGAAGATCGATTGATCCGACTGAGCCGATTGGTAGGAGTGAAGGGAAGAGAATTTCTGCATATTGATCGCTGCATGGTGAATCGTAAATCCGATGGAATTTAGTACATTAGTGTGCTCCCGAGATGGGTAGCGTTCTTTTAAGGAAATAGCTGTCAGTGGTGGAATTTTAAGTAGAAGGATATTAGAGAATGGATGAAGGGATATAAAGGTGGCGTAAAAGATAAAATACGAAGATAAGATAAGATGAAAGTCGATCTTGTATAAAAATATTTGTATGTGCATAATCATTATGCAAGTATACCAAATATGGTGGGTGTAACCTTATAAAGATCTAAGGTACAGATTTCAACATCAACCATTCCAAATTGATAGTGCGAAGCTTTACATATCTAAGACTTATTAATAACTTCGAATTTCACATATACTACAAGTACTGTATAAATAACAAAATATATAAGATCTTATATAAAACCCAGGTACACCATCGGTAGACCACCCCTTCAACACTTTACACAAATACATCTACATCTACATCTAACCTTCCATTACAAATATATTTATAGAATCCAGGTACACAATATATATATACAACCAGCATCAAATCATGCCCAGAAATTCATCATAATAGTCGCTATTGATCCAATTACCTCACCAGATCCCAAAGGAAGTCCCCAATATAAGTCTTAAAATCCAAGATAGATATACTACCTGTAGTCAACATCGACATCCACATCCATCCCCAATCTCTAATAACCCCAATAACCCCGCATACCTATAAAACTTGCAATAAAGAAACCTATAACAGTATATCAGTATATTAGCAAATTATATAACCCAAAATACTCAATCCGAATCCCAACAATATAGCCCGAATAAAACCTACCATTATCTCAGAATACAAAATGAAAACCTTCGAATTCATGTTTCCTTTTTTTGTTTTCAAAGGTAATATTTAGATGGTTTGCAACAATAAACAAATCCTAACAAAATCTCAAATCTCAAATCTCAAATCTCAAATCTCAAATCTTCACCCCAGAAGATTCCCAAAAAAAAACGTATCTACCATCCATCTACAATCTATAAAACAATCCTACCTACCTGCCTACCTACCTACCTAATAATAAAACGCCGTACTTCATTATTCCAATCTCCTTCTAAGCAAAAACTCCACCCCCTCACCCCGCCTCCCCGCCCCAAAATAGAAGACACACCACCCAACAATACATAGGTAGGTACCAACACAAACACCCAGCAACATCAAACCCAGCCATCACTTAACCTAACCTAACCAAAACGCAAAGATGCCCTCCCACAGCCAGCAAAGAGCTATAACCAAGCGTAGCAAACTCAAACTCACAAGATAATTGCAGCTTACGAAATGAAGTCACCACTATCAAAGTTTATTTGTGTGCGACTTATTTTAATGTATGGAATCTGGAGTTGTTCTTTTCGCTAGGTAGTGTTTAGTTTCAATAGTTTTAAGTTTTAAGTTTCAAGTTTTAATCACGAACAAGGTTTTTGTCCTGAAGGAAAGGAAAGGTTGGCATCTAACCTTACTCTATCTTGCTGACTAGAAGTAGATGTATATGTATGGGAAAACGGCATGTATTTCCAGTCAAGATAGTAAGGTACGTCATCATCGACAAGTTTGTCGCTGGAGGGATATAGTGCGATCATTTATAGTGATCGAGTCGCCGCGCAGTTTGATCCGATATGACGCATCTGCAAAAGAGCAGTTGAACGAGATTTGAGAAAAAGTCTCGATATTATGAGGTGAAGTATACTGCAAATTTGACAGATACAGTTATAGCCAGGAACAAATTTAAATTGCATGTGATAATCAATGCTTCCCGCATGTAGATCCATCGATTGCCTTACGATTCGGATGTCAGGAACATGATGAGCATCAAACTTTTTTTGTCTTTGGCGTTATGGGCTATATATTTTAGGAGATGATCATCATCCAGGCCAGGAATGATGTGATGGGAAATAATGATATGAAGAATGTCTGCTTGGCGTCATCTTTTAGTACACCGTTGACTCATGGGGATATGCGCTACTACTAAATAGCTAGCAATCCTCTACCATTTCTATTGCATCTCAACGAAAAGATTTCCCCATCTTCAAAGATCTCAGATCTCGAGCCTAGAAAAGTATAGAAATCTCTTCCCATCACCAAAAGTCGTAATGTAATGGGAGACGGGAAACTCTAAACCTCCGACGAGATCATCATGGCCAGGTACACAGACAGCGACTAACAGCCGTTAACCATCAGGAATAGCTTAGCTCAAAGCAAATAGTGTATGGCGGTACCATCAATCTCCGTTGCACTAAAATTTATAGAGTAAAAGATAGTAGAGAAATAGTTGCAACATATCAAAAGATATAGTCTGGTACTACCAGTAACTAAGAACTGTTATTATAGTGCAACGCTTTAAGCTAGCACCTCTCTGTAATGCACAACTGTTTTTTCCAAGCTACCCCTCCCTCGTAAAATACCGAACCTGATACCGAACCTAAGACCGAATTTGGCGTCAAACCATCACAATTGAGGATATCGATATCGAGCTTATTAATTGTAGTGCAAAAATTTATTAGAGTTTTGCATCCCATTATTGCAAATCATCAATGAGTTGGTAGTCGTCATAGTTCGTGCTAGAAGGAATTCAGCAAAATCGAACCACTCTTACCATAAAACGGTCATTGCGCAGACAAGACATTCAAAGCAAAGCTCCTCCATGTTTAAGTATGGAACCACCATGAACGTAGCTCTGGCGCAACAACAAGCTTTGCCAGCGCACAACACAACGGAAACTAGTTTCTGAGTCTTTATGGCATTGCTGACAATTTTATTGGTCGAGTCAGTCCCGTGACGTAAAATCATCGGAAGTTTTTCTTTCTGCTGATGCATTGGAATGCAGCTCAGTGTGGATACATATGGTTGAGGTGAAAAAGTTTAATACAATGGCCGATAGATTAAAAGGCGAAATATACTTTCCAGGTACCAGGAACAAAGACGGCACCACTGCCTCGCCAATGAATATTTCCAATCCAAGATCCAAGCAGCAGCCAAGGGCCTATATGTGGCTGAATAAGGATTTAATGCTGTGTAACCCACTGTAGTGGGATTCTGGTCAGTTGATGGGCTTTCTATATAAAAAAAATACCATATATCCACATACTAGGTGTCCTTCATCATGCACCAGAACACTACACCATTAATGTGCTGCCACTTATTTTGGAGTTATTCTGTGATAACTTTTCGTGCCTTGCATTTTGCAGATGCAAAGGTATCGCTTTTTGTGGTTCCTAGCTGATAGGCAGATTTGAACCTGGATCCTGTTGTCTGGGCATGGCCCGGCTGGATGACTAGATTTGCCCAGGACCTGCATTAACCAGTCCATACCTTTGAAATAGATTTGCCTTGCTGTTGGACACTGGGCTGCTTGCTGGATAAAGTTGGATGATTGTACTCCGTATTAGGATGTGTAGTATGTGCATTTCCCGGAATGACCACAAGCGATCATCCACCCACAATGGTTGAATAATATAAGTAAGCTTACTCTTCTCTGGGCAGATATAATAATCATCCTTATGATCTCGGAGTATCGTGGTTTGAGGTTAATTGAGATCTGGTTGAGCTTTGCAATAAAGATGATGTCTTTCGTAGCAAATTGATAAATTGATTTTTAATCCATCCATTATGCCGATGTTGGTATATCCCATTAATCAATCTCAGCCCCTCTATCTCTGTCTAGTCCTCGAAGGAGGAAGGGAAGTTAAGCTACTCTGTATACAAGTCCCTACTGGACTGTCTTTCTAATTCTTTTGGCGGTGAGAAAATGATGAAATAAATTACCCCCCCGCCCCCTCGATTGCTTATTGCTTATTGCTTATCGCAGAATAGCGGCGGCACATTAGCTCAGTGGTAAAAGCGCACAGGGCGCATCGGAGTGAAAAGACTCAAGACTCAAGAGTCACGACTCAAAGCCCATGTGAGATCCAAGGGTTCAAGAGTTCAAGGGACACAAGGAACACAAGGAACACGGGGACGAATGAAGAAAAGGACCATTTTCTTACCGTATAGATGGCGAAAAGAAAAAGATCCGATACGATACCGAACGAAAGAGAGAAAATAATCAATCAATCAATATCATTCATGTCCACGAGGCGGCTCTTCATGCGTTTTCAGCACACATCATCAAGAATAGTTGTACGGAGTAATATTGCAGATGCAATGAAGAATCTGTTACGTATGATCCACTCGCCGCAAACAAATAGAATTCTTACTAGTATCTCTTACGAGGTTGCTACTATCTGGCATTGAGATCCACTGTTGGAAAATATAGGACGATGACTTGCAGTTGGTGAGTGCTCGCTGAGATATAATAGGACACCATTAGACACCATTCGACACTATCAAGCGCACATGCTGCAAGCCGGAGCAGTTCAGGTAAGGGACAGGAACATAAAGTCAGTATCCTGGCCACTTTTCAGTGGCTCTAGTGTGAAAGTTTCAAGATTGGTTATAATTTAGCTTCCCCCGTTTCCCGCTGTCATAATTATCAATCATGATCAGGCACTCTGTACATTCATCCATTTTAATGTTTGTGCTGATGATGTTGCTCACTTCCTTTTTCACTCACGGTTAAACGGCCTTTGAGTGAGCCAAGTAATCGTTCAGCTGTTCGCAGACTCTAACTATAAAGTATTTGATGGCTCAGCTGTTAGTAGACTCTAACCAATATAGTATTCAATGGCCATGGAAAATAGTGCGCGGTGTTTGACTGAAAATGTCCTGTCTAGGTCACGAAGAGAGAGAGCCGAGGAATTCATAACCTTAACCATGGAAAATGTTTTGGTAAACCAGACAGACATACATATCCCGTACCAGTCTTTTGTAACAGATATGGCTCCACTGACCTTTACATCCAACTTTCACACCCAATCCTTTCCTCGATCCTATTATTGCCATTCATTCACTTTCGTACCTTTGTAATCTTTCCATGCTTAGACGTCTTTTGCGTTCGCTAATCGTTACGCTCCCCATAAGGTTATTGAGTCGATCGATAACTGACGACTAGGTACCAATAGTTCTAAAATTATAGTCTTTCAAAGTCTTTTTAGAGTCTTTCTGTTAGAGTCGTTGGAATGAAAATACCCCTCCGTCTCCTCTTCGATAAAAAGTATGAATTTAGTATCTGTCACCATCGATATTTTCTGACAAGCTGGCCGATCTTATTTCATCATCATCTTAACGACACTAAAGAGCTCGATATATATGAAAGGCTTTGTCCCCCTTCATCAATCCGTCTCCTCCACCTTTCCTCCACAATTCCCTCCACCCTCAATCGAAAAAATCTTGCAACTTAAGCAATTTTATGTGAACTCCTGGTCTCTCTGACGCATTCACTAACACTTCAAGGTTGTTTCTGTTCAGGTGTTCTTTCTGTCCCTGACCCGAATCTTTCCTTGCTCACGATTTGTGAACACCTTTTTTAACCTACCTCCCTCCCTACCTATCTATCTCTTACTCTGTACTCATTCTTACTTACTCTTAACCTATCGTACTCTTAACCTACCTCCTCTTAACCTACCTCCTCTTAACCTACCTCCTCTTAACCTACCTCCTCTTAACCTACCTTACTCTTTCTTACTTACTCTTAACCTACCTCAACCTTCCCCAAACTACAGACAGTCAAGCTTCTACCATATCGATCAAAATTTAGAAGACAACCATCCATATATTTATTTGTTCATCCATCCCTCCATTATCTCCCTTCGGATTCTTAACAGAGATCATCTCAATCCATATCGTCCAATAATCTTTCGATTTTCAACGTTGAAATCGTATTGCAGATCTTAAAAACTCGTCTAAAGCTTACATAGAAACAAAAAAACCCTTGCAGATCTTTTCGCAATCATTTCATCTCCGGAACGAAACGAGGCAAAAGGCAACAATTCTCCCGGTCGCATATCATATCGTAACCACTATTTCCTATTTCCTTGTCCCCCCGCCATCCTCTTATCGACAGCACAATTATCGCCGTCGCCCGGATAACCTGCAAACAAATATTAAGGATCTTTCCAATAAAGTTCTTTCCTCGCTTCTTGATCTATCACCTATCCATCCATCATCGCGATATCTTTTTCCGACTCTGCCTCAGGTCAGGCTGTGTCTTTTCCCTTTTTCATTTTCAGGGCTGAAAAGAATCATCGGAGCTGGATTCTTTTTGAAACCAAGCCTCGACTGAGAGTACCCTGTCCTGCTTACGAATTCCATAAAACAATCTCATTTGCCTTGATGCGGTGACAGAGATAACCATATCTATCATCTTATCCTTCTCACCCCTTTCACGACCTTCTACCGCCGCTACCCCCTTCTCATCCGCTCCGCAGGGATCATATCACTGCCGCCAGTCACAATGTCTAGCGACACTCTATCATCTCAAGAGCCAGCATCTGGCCCCAGATCTACCACTTCCTTTTTACCTATAAATTCCAATCGTGCAATTAATGTCAATGGTTCCGAAGTCGAAGGACCATCCACTCAGCACAATCCCCAAGAGACGACTTCCACGACGCCTCGACCCAGTACCGCACCGAATACTCAACCTCGGCCGATGCATGGAACGGAAGATGCAACGACTCCAACGACAACATCATTTGGAGCAGCCTCAAGCGCACTTGCAAATCAAAGGCCTCTCCCACGTCCTTTCGATAACGCTGCATCTGTTTCCGAGTCCGTAAGAGACATGACATCAACCCTCAACCGAAACAATTCAGTAATGTCACATAATTCTGGTGGTTCCGAAGATGTTGATATGGATGATTCGGATGTTCAAAGTTCCAATGGTGATGGTTCAAGGCCCAATAAGAAAAAGAAAACTCAAAGATTCTTCTGCGTGGATTTTCCACCATGTAATCTTAGCTTTACAAGGAGTGAGCATTTGGCACGACATATAAGGTAATTCACTACATCTCAAGCTACTCCACAATCTCTCCGTCTGCTAATGGTTATCCTCATCTAGAAAGCACACCGGAGAGCGTCCCTTTGAGTGCCATTGTAAGCGCAGGTTTTCTCGATTGGACAATTTGCGGCAACATGCTCAGACGGTCCACCAAAATGAGCCAATTCCCCAAGACTCTTTGGCTGCCACTGGCACAAGATATCCTAGACAGGCTCGTAATGACAGAGTCAGACCTGCTGGGAACAGACCCAGAGCTGCTACAGCAAGTGGACAGGCACCTACACATCGTGGTCATCATCGGAACTCCTACTCCACCTCGAGCATAAACTCTACTGCATCTAGCTATAGTCAGCCAAACAGTTTCAGGCCACGTCCACCCCCTCTACAGATGGCTAGCTATGGATCAGATAGCCCTTCTGCATGGCGCCCAAGTTCACCTGGAGAATACAGTACACCTACCTCTGCTACCTTTTCAACTGGCCAGAATAGCCCTCGATGGGCATCCAATGTGCAATCACCTCTGATGGGTACCTATTCACGAACTGCTAGCATTTACGATGGACATCGTACTCCTGGTCGTAGGTTGTCTACACCTTCCGCTGCGCACCCATTTTCCTCGCCAAGCCTTGCTTCCAATCCTTTCGGCACTCCACCAACTTTCACTGCACCGGCACCCTATTCCCCAGGTATGATTTCAAGCCCTACAACCTCGACGGCGGGTATGGGACAATTTGGGGGGCAATCGATGGCTACCAATCATCCAGATATGGACAATAGAAGGAGAACATGGCACCAAGGAACTGATGCAGCTACGCTAGCATACACTAGCAGGTTGCAGAATGTCATGACTCCAAATCACTATGCAAGCGGCCCTATTCCTGAACCGCCCACAATTCTTCGCAGCAATGCTCCTCCAGCGGAACAGACAACACTCCCAGGTATATCAAGTTTGTTCAGTAGGGCGTATTCGCCGCCTCCTCGTGCTACAAATCAAATGATGACTGATAGACCAAATTCTTACCATCAGCCAAGCCCTACCATGGCTGACTTGAACTCACGTCGCCAGCCGAGACATTCCATGGTGGAGTCAAACTTCTATTCTCAATCCAGACCTGTGCCGGTTAGAGACCGACCTCTTAGCTCTCATCTTGATCGGCAATTCACCCAGTTAGACCTTCACGGTGCACCACAAGGAGACGCAGCAACCTGGGCCTCCGACGCAGCTCGTGCTGTTCATGCCACTGCAGAGGAATCACCAGCAGATCGAACAAGAAGAATGTTGGAAGAATGTGGTAATATTCATTCCGGCTTAGAGTTAAGACTTGCAAACCAACCAAGAGTAATGTTTGAGCATGCGGCACTTGGTCCTCGACCTGGGCCCTCTTCATCTTATCACCAGCATACGGCTAGTGCGCCGGTTACTATGCCCAGGTCAGACAGGCGGGACGGATGGTATCACGGACCAGGAGTATATCATCAGACGTATGATAACAGATTTCAAGGAACTTCCCCAGAAGGATCAAGCAGTTCCGAAGGTGCAGCGCCTTTAAGTCCGCAGAGCGCCAACAGGATGGATCACAATCCTACCGTTTTACAATCAAACGGTTACTCTGAGGAAGCTTCTCGACCAATTCGTCCTCAGCAACCAATCATCCACCACTACCATTCACAATCAAATGGAAGCGAACCTTCTTACACGTATGGGCCTTCTTCATCAACTCAAACTATGTATCAGCAAATTCCCAAGTCACCTGAGCAGCCTTACCGCACTGCTCTAGACACTTTGGTCGCTGTCGCAACAGGCGATCAAATTCCTGTGCAAAAACCCTTTTGAAGAATTGATTTCGTTGATCATAGCTTTTGTGTATATATTACACCTCGACACAATTTCTTTTAACATACCCCATTCGCATTCTGTTTTAAGAATGTTACGAAATTATGAAACAAAGACGGATATACATTTTATCTTCACGATTCCCTCTTTTCCTTTTACATCTACTGGGACCGGGACATTGTGATTTGGCAGCGTTGGTGTTCGGGTATTTGACATCATTGTTCTTTTGTTTTTTTATGTTTTCTCTCTCAGGATTCATTCATGTGTCTACACAGTTATACCCTGTGACATATGCGTCTTGTCTCGCCATCCGGGATTTAGGACCTATTCCTGTGTCCACAACATTTTTGTCTTGGCATACTGTGTCTTTTACTGCTTCTCATGTGTAGCAATGTACTTCTCGGAACGTATGGATTATCATTAAGACGGTTCTCACCATCGGGTTGGAAGAAGCCTTTGACCTGCCTATCTGGCCAGCATTTTGAACTACTTGGGTTGTTTATCATGATTTAGCGCTATTGGGGGAGGCTTCGGTTTTTATTTCTAGCGTCGGGACAGGCGGTTCTCTACTCGGGATTTCTTGGTGGGCGGCAAGCTTGACTATGACTATGAGATTTTTACTTATGATACCTCTATACCCCAATACTACTATTCAAATCGCTTTCTTGTCTTTGATGCATTTTTATTTTTATTTACTATCTTAGAGTGGTTGTGTATCCATCAATGCAATTGGACGGCATGGATAATACTCGGTTTATGGGGTGGATTAAAGCATTTGGATGATGGTATGATGTCATACGAGATTACAGGATGGGATTGGTGCTTTGTTTTGTACGGAGTATGCGTGCATGTTTGTTTGTTTATTTACTTACTTCCTTGCGATTCAAATCTGGTATCCTCGCTGCGCCTGTGGCGTGTGTGGATTGAATGGATATATGGAGATTAATGAAGAATGTTTTTTGGTTTGATGGAATAGGATCAGGATAGGATCCATTGGACGGACTCTACTTATTAGTTCGCTTGTCTATATATTTGCTTTTATGTATGTAGTTTAATAGTTCAATTGTTTCAAAATTATTCGTCGATGCTGGATTTAAAATGAAAATGAAAATAAAATATGAAAATACTTGGTAGCTGATCTGATTTGATCTGTCCTGACCCTGACCTGAGCTTTTCCTGGAATTTATTTGGCTTTGAGTGGGTGGGTGAGTGATGTGTATGGAGTCTGTCTGTATAGAGCATGTATGGAGTAAGATTTCTCGGATTGGAATATAGAATCTGTGCATGCATTGTATTGTATTGTAGTGTGGGCGGGTCCCTACATAGCATGTATGGCATGGCATAGTATGGTATGGTATGGCATAAAAAGATATTTATTCAATGGTTGTGAATGGATACATAGTGCGTAGGTACTCTGTAAATAGATTAGATAGATAGATAGATAGATGAAGGGAAGGTTTCATATACATTGTAGATTGTAGATCGTAAATTGTATTGCTTTGTATGGTGGTGCTTATTTCTACGTATGTGTATGTATGTATGTATGTATGTATGTATATGTATGTACATCCCAACCTCTTGTTTTCACTCGCGCGCGCATCCTGGTTTGGGGTTTTGGGGGTTTTGGATGGAGGGTTGGGATGGGTATGGGATGGGCAGTTGAACGGGTGGTGTTGGGGTTTGTTTTCTATTTTTGTTTTATGTGTGGTATGTAGGTATGTAGATAGTATCTTTAGACTTTAGACTTTGGTTTGGAGGGTGGGGAGGGAGAGGAGGGGAAAGGATGAGTTCAGCCGTTTCATAGAGGGTGGGGCTTTCCTTAGATGGGGTGAGGGGATTTGGGATTTTGTGGTTATTTTCCTTTTCATTTGGATTCTGGTTTTGACTTTGATATTTGTGGCGGACGTTTTGGGCGGAGATTTTCCGAGGAGGAAAGTTGCTGTTGTGGTTGGTGGATGGATGGGTGGGTGAGGGAGAGGGGTGTATATATGAGTTGAGGAAAGTTAAAAGGGAAGAGCATAACAATGAGAGAATGGTAAGATTAGAGTAGTAGAACAGTAGAATGCTAAGTAATCAGTGATTAATGAATGGTGAATGATGGGGATTATGATATGCAGTAATGGCTACAAGTATAATGTGTGATTTTTGAAACGAGGGAATCAGGTCCCCTAGAATGCCAATATGGGAGGCTGGCTCTCATTAACCAATTAGATTCTCAAAATTCCAACATCAAGAATTCAACAATGTAATTATAATACCTAAATTCAGTATATATAGTAATGTATATACTTTTTCTCAATATTGTTATTTTTTAAAATCTAGGGACATGAAATTATTTCAAAATTATACTTTAAAAAAGAAATCTCTTGAACTACTACTTCGATAGCTTTCAATCAATCAGGTCAGGCTTTATCATTCAAAGAATATTGCACGGATCACTCTTGCAGCCCATTTTGGCATCCTAAAAATACTACATCGATCTTCACCATCCAATACAATCCAATGCCCCACTTCGTTCGGTACGCAACGGTCCGCAAAGTAAGATGAGGGCTTTTGATGGTTAGATCTGCATTAATCTTTGTACTTTGAAAGGATATGGCATAGCTCTACACTACACGTGTTACGGATAAATTCCTCGCGGAGGGTTACGCTGTGTGGATGGATGCAAAAGTTATGCATCGAAGTCTGCGGAAGTATGCGGGAGAGTGGAGATAGGAGGGCCCCTAGTGTTGCTAGTGTTGCTAGTGCAATCAGTTGGTAAAGGAGGGGTAAGTGGGTATGCAGTTGGAACTGAAAGCTGTAAGTGGTGGGTGAGTGGCGATCTTTGTTGAGTTGGAGTGAGGTGCTTTTGCGTTGGTGGGTGAAGATACGGAGAGGAGTCAGATGGTTGGATTGTTTGGAAGGTTGGATTTTGGAGGTGGTGTGGTGTTTTGGGTGTTTTTGGATGGTGGCGATGATATACGAGAAATGTCTTGCGATGGATATACCTATCGATTTCTTATTGCCTGTTTACCTGTTCTTCGAATACTACCCGTGCAAGGCGTAGCATCTTACAAATTGAAGATAGGTGTTTAGCCTGAGTATTAAATTAGGGTCTGGTTGGGTGTGTGTGCATATGCATGGCAGCTCGGTCAGCAGGAGACTTAGGTTGATGCAGGGTAGCAGATGTGGCATTGGGGACTGCGGTCGACGCAATCGTTTTCTTGGTTGTGGGTTAAGGATGTGGGGAATGACGGTTGCGGGTGGAGATATAGATGGGTTTGTTTGATGATTTGGAATTATGGGGTTGTGGGTGGAGAATGATATCTGCGATTTGTGGCTTGGGGTATCCAATAGTTTAAACTAGTAAACTGGATTCGAGCTTTCAAAGTTTGGAAAGCTACACATCCTCATGAATGACTTGATCACATAAATGGATTTATTGTTTCAGATGAATTCACGAATGAAGGCTTCACAGTCTCGGAAAGCAGCTTGCACTATTAGATTTCCCGATGTCCAATAGTAGAACTGACAAGTAAGCAGCGGATGATATCGAAAGCATCTTGAAAGTTTTGGACCATATTCATGAAGTATGATAATAACGATTGAGTAACTCTGAAATAGGAAAGACTTTCTTATCAACTAATAGCACGCACGCGCGTACCATAATCTTAATCCCTATTTTAAATCTTCCTCTGCTCAATCCTGTCCTTCTTTCCTTTCTCAACTCTTCCATCAACAACTGCTTTCCCAATGAAAGGTTCAGTATCTTCTCATCCTTAGCCATTCATTCAGTTTTCCATTAGAAATGCCACTCTGCATTCTTCTCATCATGCTTACCATTAACTTTAGTTTAGAGCTAGCGCCTTTGTCAAGTTTTGGCAAAGTTGCCTCCTTATTCTTGATTTTCCCTTAAGCCTCGTTCTTTCTCCAACTTTCTCCTGGCCTCTAATCCCTCTATTCACTTAACACCAGCCTGCTCATCCCCCTCGTACCCATCCCAATATCTCGTTCCACCCACCACTTGCATCTCTCCTCCGTACCATCTCTACCCACCTATCCTTTTCCTCTACCCTTACTTCTCCTTCCGGGACAACCGCAATACCATTTTGTGTTGGTCTGAGAACCACAATTCCATCTTTATATACTGAAAACTCCCGTCCAATCAATCCATGATTCGGGTGTCCTTTTTTGCGAAACCGACGATGTAGGCTTGAAGTGTTCAGGCGACAAATCCGGGGATGAAAGAACTTCTCCTGTGTTTTACATATCCGTGGGATCGGAGGATGGTAATTGATAGAAATGTGTAGAAGTTAGAATACCTAGCCCATCTAGCTCATATATATAGTAGTGTAAAGGTAGACATATTTATATAAGGAGAATTGATTGAAATTTGATAAAAATTAAAAAGATTATTTAATCTCGGCTACCCTTTTGCATCAAAAATCGTGATTTTCATATACTAATAACTTTACAATCAATTAATACAATTTAATAAAATTTGAATCGTAGATTTATTATATAGTCATTAGTAGATTCTGAAAATTTCAGACTTTTTGTAATTGATTTCGTTGAGATTTGAAAGATTAAATTTTTGAATTTTTAATTTATAAAGAATTTATATACAAATTTGAAAAATTATTAAAATTTTGAATAACTTTTCCACAAAAACAATTAAAAATAAATTTTCAATTTTTTTTAGGGTTTTTAAATCAAATCTATCAAATAGATTAAATTATTTTAAAAAATAGTTTAAAGAAATCTAATTAATCAAAATATTAAGATTTTTAATCTTTGTAAAAATTAAAAGTATCAATAAAAGTTTTTCTTTATAATTTGAAATCCAAAATTCTTATTTATTCAATCAATTTTAATATAAAGAGTTGAAAATTTATTTCAAGTTTTAATAATTGAAAATTTGTATATAAATCCTATATAAATTAAAAATCGTAATTTCAACTTTTAATTTCTCAATTAATAAAATCGTGAAAAGTCTGAAAAATTCAAAATCTATTAATAATTATATTAAAAATCTATAATTAAAATTTCAATTGATTTCATTCATTCGTTATTAAATCATTAATAATTGAAAATGATAATTTTTAATATAAAAAGATGACCAAGATTAAAAGTGGCCGAAATTAGAGTACTAGACTTATTTTATATTAACAAAAGTGAAAAAAAAGTATTATATAATAAAAATTTTGAATATTTACAATTTTAAATACTTTAAACTTTCAAATAAAATTCTTTAAAAATAAAATATATAATTTCTAAAGTATTCTAATAGTTAATTATCATATTTTAGGTTTTTAATTAATTTAAATCAATATTAAAAAAGTTATTCGATTTTTAGTTTTTTATTAGAAACTATGATTTTTGCTGGGATTCTATCACGAATTCAAATAGGGTGCGGGAGTAGATTCTAGAACTCTTATTATGTCGTATAATAGATATACTGGGGATGCTTCTAGTTGACCTAGAGAACATTCTTCCTCACCAGCGATTATTGTTTGAGTTTGAAAAGAGTCTAGAATAACTAATAGTACTCCCGAAGGCTCTTCAGGCTTGAGTTATTCTTTATGACATACTTACTATGAGGCAGTTCAAAGGCGACAAGGTCTATGACGAGGAAGTTCGAACCTTTCATCCGGAGATTCTAGATTGGGAATATCATCTCCCTTGAGTGCTTCTATTCATGGATTGTTAGGCACGACAAGTTTCTTGTCGAAATCTTCCATCTAACGACAACCTAAGGCAGCATAGTTAATATTCTATTATATATTGACGCCCCCTGCTCAGTAGTCATTCCTCCATAATGCCTACTGCACATCCTGGTTATCATTGTCTTCACTTGTATGCTGCCCATACATTTCACCGCTTCCTTAAGTCAGCCGCGAGGAAACCCGCAGAGACTACCATGGTTGACCGCAAACACTCAGAAGAGGCTGAGCTTCCTCATATAGAACTCGAGAACACCTCCACAGACATAGCTGATATACTTCCCAATCATCCCCGAAACGTCGCTATCCAATTCAAGGCAAGCACTTAAAAGCCAGAAGATGGATTTGATCTGGCACACAAAGCTAAGGCGGACAAATCAGACAAGGCAGCTCTTGGGGAAGGATCGGAGATTGTCATAAAATGAGGTGAGGTTATGGCTACAATGTGCGAGGTCAATCATCGTGGCCGCTATCTACTCCTCATGTCATTTTACCATCAAATTGACCACCGCCGCCAACTTCTCAAGCTATCGGAATGTAGTTCTCCATCCGACGTCCAGGCATTCCAGCCATTCCTTCGAGGTCTTCCAGAATGCAAGACGTTAACATCTCAAGCATTGACATCATATCTGAACCAAGATCATCCCGAACCAGTTTTCAGATTAACAAAATGGATGCAATCGGCATTTGGGCAGAAAATCTATCCCCCACCCGAGTTGTTGAGGGTCTCTGGTTTTTCAGACAATGCATGGCAATTTGCCGTCGTCAATCCACCAACGTGAATACAAGATCGGTTTGATGGAGCTGTCATGTTCCATGGCCAGACCTCCGTACGATGGTATGGTACCGCTATCAATACATTTCACTCCATCCTTCAAAATGGTTTCCTGACGGATAAAATCTGGACTGCAGGAATGCCCGGTGTCTTATGGCGATATGCTTTCAAGAAGGGGGCTCGCGAAGCACTTGAAGCGGTTCGTCATCCACTATTTGATCATGGTGTATTATTAGGTCTCGAAGTTGCCGGGCCTCCCAATAAGAATATCGTCACCCATCTACAGGTTGAGGCTGACAGATACATGGTGAGATAGATATATCTTCTTACTGCCTCCGGACACGCCAAAACCTAGTGCTAGATCTTTAAGATATATAACTTTATCGATGGAGGCGGCATATAGGGAGTGGCCCAGGCCAGTGGAAGATTGATCGTAACGAATTTGAGGAGGACGTGATGGTCCTTGTGGTTCACGGTCACAGGCAGCGAACGTGCATCTAGAAAACCTTTATGGTCTGAGATTTAGCTAGCAATTTAAAAATACCCTCGTCTCATTTCACTGTAATCATTATCCTAACCTTATCTGTTTTCTAATCTTCGTGATGTAATTGCTCAAGGGGAGGATAATTTAGATTTGACTTGCTTGATACAGTACTCAATAGTCCGGATCCGGAATGCAGTTCAAAAGTTAAATCGTTGGTGTTGTTGAATTCAAATGAAGCATTTAAAAAAAGAATAATTTATATTTGATTTTGTGAAAGTAATGGTTCAGTGGTGCTAGCAAGCACAGGGAGCTAGTCGCAATCAGTACTAGTACGAGATTCGACTTATTCGAAGTTCTTTCCTCTTTAGTGATTTTATAATAGTCTGAATGCCTTCAATTCTATATCCTATACTTTCTATTATACCCTGTAAGATTCATACTTAAAACAGATTTGTTTAATACAGTACTTATTGTCCAGACTATAGTTCAATGATCAAATCATTTGAATCGTTGGATCTAAGTAAAACATTCAACTCTTTTTAAGAATTCAATCAAAGCATTCGAATAATCTGAATGATGAATCGCAATCCAAGATCTAAACCTTCTCAAGCGTAAAAAGCTTAAGCAATTTTCTTATTCAGCTTTCTATTACTAAATATCTACATGAACTTGAATAGCATCGAAATTAAAGCAGCCTTTCATCCGAGGGTATTAATACTCCTCCAAACACCCGATCCTCGTGCCAACCCCTTTTAACTCCGGAAATCAAATGGACTTTAAGTTCATTACTATGAAGAAGGCAGTTTCAGATTGATGATCCAGGGGGCATTTGTTACAACGGCTTCGGGCATCGTATTATATGACCACTTATGAAGTCACGTGGTCCCTTAGATCCTTTCGATCTCTTTACCGAAGGGACCGAAGGGATCGAAGGGACGATTAATATGAAGGTCTATATAACCAAGATGGATTTCCTTTGTATAGAGCTTCGTATTCAAGATTAATCCTTTAATATACTCTATTATTAGTTACGAATAATATATCATTATTGTTGTTATTTAAGTCCCTATTTGACGCCTAGTTATAAACCTACCTCGAGAGCCTAGAACACTTCTACGTGATCTAGACGGCTACCCTCGTAACAGCATTGTTGGGTTGATAGGGGGAAGCATATATTTTAAATGTTGCTCCGTTTTCAAGTTGAAAATAATGGGTTCCTTCTTCCAAATAAGTAACCCCTGCTCCTTTCGTTAATTGCCCCTTAATGACCTCCATGGCACGGGCATGGTCCTCAAGATAGTCCTCATCTTCTTCGAGATGTACCTTACACCATCCTTCGTCGAGCTCCAAGTCATGATTTCCAGCGATAACTAATTTAAGCTCTGCGTTGAAGTTACTGAGCATTTTGAGAGTCTTTTTGAAGGCTGGAACTCCTCCAACTTGTGTTAAATCTCCGCTGTGGAGAAGGACGTCGACTTTTGGGACGGGAAGCTGCAGCTTGCTGGATGCATTATCGCCGAATTGGTAATCGTGTGTATCAGACAACACTAGGAAACTTGATTCAATTCTTGCCATTGTGATATTGGAACTATTTGTGGTGGTATATTCTAAAATAATTTGATCGAATAAACCGTAATCTTAAATATTATAAAATGTAATTGTACAATGATGTTGTACGAAAGAAGAAAATAAGAGAGATATTTTTTCCTATTCTGTGAATTTGTGCACGGAGCCAGTGCTAGTTAGTGCTCGCTAGTGAACACCTCTCCCAGTTCAAATACATATAGTCTAATCACGTTTAGGGTTATGTCCAGCTAGGACGTAGTAGGCGATGGATTGTGGCAATTAACATTACAGCCAACAATATGATAAATAGGTGCGTGATACGTTGCTCAAACAACAATACAATAAAAACAGACCTAATACACTATCATCTCATGCAATGTCTCGTGCCCCGTGAACATGCTTCGTGGTATAAACTAACGCCGGCATAATCTGTATAAAACCCCAACGTTTAAAGATAAAATAAACCAATTGAAAATTGAAAATCTAAATACCCCGTGATTTTTCAAAGTTGCAATCTATACGAGGATTTCGTATGCCTGAAGCCCACCCTGATCTTTGGAACTTTCCACTTAGGATATTTCCGCGCAGAAGACCTCAGCCTATCCTCCATAATTGAAAGCTCATCTATGTTAATGTGCGTTTCCCATATTCCCAAGCACAGTATCCTTAAACCGCTGAAACGCTGGATGTAATCCCAACAAAATGCGTTCAAATTAAATACATTTAACTCCGGATTCCTAATCTTTTTTGCTTCTCCACCCTGGAAGCCGGCAAGAATCATGGGTAATGATCTTTCACCAGTCAACTTAAGCTTTAGTGCATCCCTTTTAAAATCAATGTACGCGATTTTAGCCCCATCACGACTTCCAAAAGCTAATTCATAGCTTGATAATCCGACCTCTCGTGCCTCACGATTGATATGAAGTATTGTCGGAATAGGATTGACCTTAGTCGAACCAATATTAACTCAGGCAATGAAACAGCTCAGGACTACTGGCTGTCTTATGTGTGTATAGTCTAATTTCAGTCTAATATTTAATTCTCGCCTAGGGTGTATATGCAAATACCAAATCATGAGACGTAGCTCCGTTGGAAGTGCCGAAAAACGTGAGAAGGTTGTGAGCTGTTCCGACGAAGGATCTGACGACTGCGACAGGCTTTCCATTGTAGATGGCTCATAAGGATGGAGAATAGGAGCAGTCAGGTTAATGAAGATATCGAGACGTGTCGTACCTAGAAAAGAGCGTGCACAGACGGTGCAATGCTTTATTGCGGATCAAGTTGACAGGAATTGAAATTATACAAAATGATGTGTCAGATAAAAGGAGGATCGGTTAGGACAGAATCTCCATTTGTGTTCCAAGAGAAAAGCCGTATTGGATTAAAGTTATCTACGATGTCACGGTATTTTATAGTCCGGTGGGGCTATAAAATAACACTAGCGCTAAGCCTAAAACAGAAGCCATATAATTCCAAGATGTTGTTAAATGATATACTTTAATTTTCATATTGATTTTATTTTAAAGTTTTTTGATTTGATGATAATAACTCTTTTAAAAAGTTTAATCAAAATTTACAAAAATAACTTTTTAAACCAGGGGCCTGCGCCCCCCGGACCCCTGACTTTTCGAGAAAGTCTAATGAAAATTTAAGTTTTAAAAAATTTATAATAAATTTAAATATTAAATATATATCAGGGTACAGATAGAATATCGGTTTATTATAACGATCTAATCGAGGCAGCGGCTGTCTGAGGTTTTGTATAATTGATAGTTGTAGATTAAGATTATTAATCATTGATTATTCATTTGAAAATGAATTAGTTATTAAATCAATTGAAATATAGATAAACTAATTAATAATTAAGTTAAACAAAAAGTTTTTAAATTATAAAATTATTCTAATTATATATTAATGAATAAAAAAAACTTTATAAAATTCAAGAATTCCAAAAAGCTTTTGGAACTCTAAAAGCTTTTCAAACTTTTAAAGCTCCTTATTATATGATTGATCCTGAAACCTTTCTTTTCCTAAAACACTTATCTCAAAAACTTTCCTTTAGAAACTATAATTCTAGAATACAATGTTCTTTAAAATAATTGTTCTATTACAATCAATTAATTAAAATACTTGTTTTATTCTAATATAATTGTTTAAAATATTTATTCTAAAAATCCTAGGATCTTATTTATAGATAACTAAGCCCCTTGAAAGCAATGATTAAATCATACCTCTTTTATAATCAGTATATAAATCACCGATATCAATAATACTACTATAATCTAAACCATGAATCGTGACACTTGTTTTTGATAATTGAAAGTTAAAATATTTTATTTAAAAATAATAATTATAATATAATTTAATATTATTATTTATAATAATAATAACATTTTATATTATTTATAATGTTATTTATAATAATATTAATATTATTATTATAAATTAAATAAGATGAATTGAATAAATAAAGTTAAATTGAATGATTTCAATAGTGTTGAATGATTTCAATTGAGTTGAGTTGAAAAAAGCTAAGTCAGATTTGCCTGAGGTTGTAAGGCTTGTGCCAAGCTTTTTGTTAGATTATTACCGGGGTATTTACCGGGGTATTTTAGACCAATCAGATTGTCAGGATCGCGACTCATTTAAGCGAGTTTCTCATTTTCCATCACCCACCGGGTAAACCCTGCGCACAGCAAGGTTATGGTGTCGGCAAGCCGACAATAATCTCTACATCCCTAATCGACACCTCAAAATGAAACCCGACAAGTCAGTTTGCAGCAGGAGCTCGACGGATCTTTCCAAGAGCAGCCTAAAAACTCATGGGAGAAATTCGTCTTCCATATACTCCATACATACTCTAAGCTTCGGACCTCTCCCTTAATTACCTCGCTTACGCACAATTCTGCAAAATTTCTTCACCACTTGACCCACAACCCCCACCACAAATACCACACTCTGTTGTGACATCTCCTCCCTCCTTAAACTTCTTAACGAGAAAAGATGACAGACAGGGCAAGATTAACATTTATCGACAAAAGTGGAATTGGATCAGTTCGGAAGAAGCAAGAACTGGCAAAACGATTGTTTCTTGACCAGACTGGGGCACGATCCCAGGACCTTGTCCGTATTTAACAGGTGTTAATTGTTAAGGACACGTGATAACCAACTACACCATCCGGCCGTTTGCGATATTGTATGATTATTTATCGAGCCTTGGGAAATATATTCATGTTGTTGAAGGAAGGTATGTAGATACCCATTCGGAAGGGGTGGAGTGGTGGTGACAACCTGTATGGACAACGGGTCAATAAACATTATTCCCGCAAGCAGACGTCAAAGCAGGGGCAAAGTTCTAGATTTACGCTCAAGGGATTGGAGGGATGTTAAGCTCAGAGGCTGCAGGCATACTATTACTAGAAATTATAACTATAGTGTATAATCATACGCAACTGTTGAAACACGCTCCGTTTCCATTCAGGGCTCACCAGGCCAGATTTCATCCGCAATACTTCTGACCAATAACAACTTATTCTTCATATCTTCCCATCCTACTAAATTACCCTCCTCATGACTGGCAAATCCACACTGAGGGCTTACACCTAATCTTCTCAATGCTTCATCTCTCGTCTGTCCTGCTCCTTTTGCTACAATATCGGCAGCTTCCATGACTCTTGCTTTCATCTCCTCTTTGTCTTCGAGTTCTGGAAATTTTGATGTAATGACTCCGAGGATGACATTCTTGTGGTGTGGGAGGTAGAGCAGTGGCTCGAAGCTACCAGACCGCGGTGTATCGTATTCGAGATAGTATGTTGCTACATTAAGGTTACGAAAGAGCTTGGTAGCAATGCGATCGTAACCTCCTTCGGAGAAGTGACGTGACCCCATGAAATTGCCCCTGCAAATGTGTAAACCAAAATGCATTTTGGCGGTATGTTTCTCTATGCTGTCATTATAGCACTTGATGTAAGCATCGAGCAACTCATCGGCAGTTTTAGTATTGGATTTGTCTTCCTCCCAACCTTTAAGCATCTCCTCGGAGCAGAAGTCTTTTACCCGTTAGCTCTTGCTGAACTGTGAATCATGTCAAATTACTTACATGCAAAATTCGGGTCATCAAACTGCACATTCCTGAGTCCAGCTTCATACAAGATGTCCAACTCCGCGCTAACAGCTTTTGAGATATCGGAAAAGTATTCTTCGTCACTGGGATAGACTTCTTTGGGGAACGCCTTGCCATCCTTATATCTAAGATGATACCACGGTGGGGCAATCATTGTCAACTTGATACTCCCCCATCTCTCTTGTGGCACAAGCAGCTTCAAATACTCGAATTGACCAACGAGTGTCGACTTTCCCGTATGCTTTATTTTACCAGTGCAGAGGCAAGATTGCCCCGGCTTGTCACCCTTTTCGATGAACCCAGCAATATCAGGAACGTAGGGGCGAAAGATATCCATGAAAGGATTGCGGATTTCGGTCATGCCTTCGAGTTCTTCAAAGAAGGTTCCCCAAAATACAGCGCGTCTGCCATCGGACTCACGTTAGCGTATTTACCAAACTTTACGTCGAATGGAGTTATATGGCTGACAAACCGATATTCCCCATCACTGATAGCTATGAACCCGCACTCTTTTTGCAACTCTACGACCTTGTTGATAGATTCATTCTCCATGCGAGTCAGTTCTTCCTGGCTCAGATCATTCTTCTCGAAAGCGTTGCGTCTGGCGAGGAGCTCCGCAGGACGAAGCAGGGAACCCAAATGTTCGGCGCGAAAAGGCGGATTACGATGAATGGTCGTCATTTTCTATGATCAGCACTTGAAGAAGTAATGAACAGGCAGAAGAAGCTTGAAACATCCTCAATTGCGGAAAGAACGATCATATACTTCTTTTGCCACGCTCAACCCCGCGCTTAACCCCGCATTAGCCATGGTATTGTCCGCAATAGCATTACATCGGCTGTTGGGATATGGGATGCCATTGGACTCCGAAGATTGAAGAGGACATTGGTTGAGATGTTACATTCTACACGAAGAACTTTCTTGGTGTTTGGATTGTGAGGAGACAGTAGATCAAGTAAGATCCTTCTTTTGAGGTTGTTGGTGGCAGATTCGATAATCTGCTGATCCAATGATAAGCTCGAATGAATGCATTGCGGACTCCCAGCGGAGATAAGTCAGATAAGAGTTTACCGACGAAAAGCCGTAAGAATTCTGTTGTCCCGGCAAGCTGACATAAGGTTATGAACTCACTTATCAACCTGAGGACTGATCAACGTGACAATGCAAGGTAGTAATTATACGTGATACATCAATTACCTATCTCCATTTGTTATCGAGGTTGGCGCGAAAATTTGAAGTCATCATGATTCATGATTCATCCGAAATATGTATCAGATACGATCCAATAAATGAACGTGCCGACACAACGGCTCATACACAATATGGCGTTTCGCAGCCGTTCGTTCTCATCCGTCATTCGCTCCATGAATCAGGACGATACAGAATTTACTGGACCTTGATGCATCTCGCCACAAACAGAGTAAGATAGAGGATTTGGGCGACACGAAACAAGGACGAACATGGGTTATCTCACCTTGTGGAAGCTTTTAATTGATAGCTACAGTGGGGCTGGTTGGTTGCAGCTACAGCATCTCTTGCATAGCATGGTCACCGCCAATTTGTAGTTTAACATCGCGTTTTTATATGCACATTTGCTTTCCACGGACTTCAGTACCATCGCTTCCTCCTGATGTGTTCAGTTCGCGAGCAATGAGCTTCTCCACAAGAGCTTCATGATGCCTAGGCTCAACCTTTCACCCGCGGGCTTGCTGTTCAGGATCTTTAGTGGGGCTTCAGAGGCTTGTGTTGATCCTGCAAACATTTCATTTCCATCTATTTTGCCACACATACTATCTACCTAGGTACTGACTGCATTGGTTTTCGACAATTCACTATCGCACTTATGCAAGATAGCAACTGTTACCCTTGAAAGCGCGTATTTCTCACTATAAATCGCGCAGTGTTTTGTTAATACTTGGTGGTTATAAAATTTCTCTTATCAAATAACTTTTCTCAATCATGTTTGCATGATTTTTCTCGAATATCATCAATCACAATCCAGTGAGGATGCAGGTTCAGAGCATCGTTGCAGAAGTCATTGGACTCTCTGTTATCGGACTTTTTACGCTGCCATCGATTGTGACAATCTTGAGAACTCCATATCGACGAAAGGGAACCGCAAGTTGGCTTGACGATAAGGATGGAAGCACAACTACTGCCAGTGAACATAATTTCAACGCAAATGTTCCAAAGATATGCTTGTCTATCTCACTTATATTGGGCATTTTCACTTTTGTTCTGAAGACTCTCCAATTGGGCAGCACCGAGCATTCCCTTGTGGAAATAGCGACTGATAGCGTGGGATGGGTTAGTTTTGGACCTTCAATCTGCGCCACTGCGACGGATGCTAACTATTGCAGTTCCTGTTGACGATACAAGTGTTTGCAGTGTGCTTTACGAAAGATAATATCATAAGCTACACGCAAGGCAAATATACTGCAGCTTCCTGTTTTGCTTTCCTTGGCATGGCCGTTGTTGAGGATGGAAAAATTTTGAGAAGTTCATGGTCAATTTCCACTGGACTATCTATTGCTCCGATGGTCACCATAATTGCTGTTGCGATCGCGAGTACATCGATACCACGAAGACCTCAGGTCTTCTATCATGGAAGACTCGTGTTAAACGAATTCAACGTTTCATTCCTCAGCCGATTCACCTTCTCATCAATAGAGTATTTACTCCAAAGAGCGAAGCGACAAAATGATTTGGACATGGAAGAACTTCCTACAATGAACCACTCAAAAAGATCAAAGACTCTCAGCCGTGCATGGGTAGCTACGAGTAGCTCCGGGCGATTGTGGGTGAGGTTATTGAAAGTCTATACATGGCCCCTTTGTCTACAAATCATTCTAGGTTTGATTCATGCTTTTCTGGCTATTGGGCCGCAATTAGCGATTTTTAAGATACTCAGTGCAATGGAGTCTGGGAAGACTGGAAGGCAGCTGGGCTTTTATATTTTGGCTTTTGGACTCGCTACTGTTATAGCTTCATGGGTTGAAGGTATGTGCCAGTCACTCAAACCTATATCTATTTCCATTACCCTAACTTTACACAACAGCGATGCAAGATATTACAAGCACGAGCTTGGTATCTGTTCCGATGCGAGCTCAACTATCAGCATTGATATTCGAAAAGACTATGCGTCGCAAAGATGCGAAAGGCAGTTCAGCGACATTGGAAAATAAGGAAGGTGTTCCCTCTGATGACATAGACCCAGACAAGACATCTCAAAAAATCCTCAATTTAATTGGGGTAGACACCGGACGAATTTGTGATTGTGCCAGACAAACATTCGAGATCGTTCAGGCCCCTGGTCGAATTATCATATCTGTAGGGTTTTTGATCACATTGTTGAGCTGGCAGGGGATTTTGCTTGGCTTCTGGTGCGTTACCTGGAATTAAGTTCATCCTGTATTGTCAAAGGTACTGAAGCTAATTTATCAGTTTTGTCTTTCTAACCTTCCCCATTACCCGTCGCTACTCTAAAAGATTTACTGCCTCGCAGGGAATTCTGATGCAGACTAGAGATAAGAAAGCTGCAATTATTGGCGAAGCTCTCCAAGGCTTCCGTCAGATCAAATTCTCTGCGCTTGAGGATCGATGGGAAAGGTCTATCATGGCAATGCGAGATATCGAGCTTACAGCAACGTGGGATGTTCTGATGTCCAGAATTATGTTGATTGCATGCTGGATTTTGAACCCACTTATGACAGCCGCAATTGCATTGGGAGTCCACTCGTATATCTACAGACAGCTGACGCCCGCACAAGCATTCACTGCCATTGGTGTATTTCTGCAGTTGGATCACTGTATGCAATGTCTTCCCAACATAATAACACAGATGATCGCCGCCAACGTGTCATTACAACGTGTCGAGAGTTTCCTTGATTCGCCGGAACTTGGAAACATTCTTTCCAGCCCCGTTCAGCTACTTGAGACAGCAGATTCCGATTCACTCGTGATAGTTTTTGAGGGTGCAAGAGTAAGCTGGCCTACCGACGATGAGTATGTTGATACCGTAAGCGAGCGATTTATTCTTCGGGATATCAATATCTCGTTTCCAGTCAACCAATTGACGATTATTTGCGGGAAAACCGGTTCTGGAAAAAGCTTGTTGCTAAATTCCATGCTTGGTGAAGCAGAACTTATTTCTGGCAAAATCACGATGCCGGAAAGACCATCTGAACAATTTGACCATCATGCAAATAAAGATAACTGGATCATTCCGCACTCGATTGCATTTGTTGCACAGATTCCCTGGATTGAAAATTGTACAATTAAGGAAAATGTTCTTTTTGGCCTACCACTAGACCTGGACCGTTACGAAAAGGTCATAGAAGCTTGTGCCTTGACTAAAGATCTTGAACTCCTGTCAGACGGACATGAAACAGAAGTTGGAACTGGTGGAATCAATTTAAGTGGTGGTCAGCGAGTAAGTAATACAGCATTTATTAAAGACTGCATGCTCGTGCTCTTCCTTCGTATCTTAATTTGGTCACTGCAGTCAAATTCTGCTCCATAACACAAGTCTAACTGATTGCTGATTTAGTGGCGATTAACTTTGGCACGAGCCTTGTATTCACGTGCTGGAATTGTCTTGTTAGATGATATATTCAGTGCTGTCGATGTTCACGTTGGGCAGTTCATTCTCAACAATGCTCTTGCCGGAGAGCTGAGCGCTAATCGCACCATAATATTGGCAACGCACCATTTATCTTTATGCAAATCGCACGTCAAGTCTATTGTAGAGCTTGAAAATGGTATTGCCAAACAATTCTCTAGTGTTCAAGAATTGGAGGAATATCTTGGGGCACCCGTCGAAAGCCTGGACGATTCCAACGAGACTTTAATCACCACCGAAGATATTTCGCAGGAAGGTACTATCCTAGATACACCAGACTTCAGTACTTCCACGATGAAAAGGACCGATCCTCTCAAATTTGTGACGGATGAGTTTCGCAAGCAAGGAAGTATTGGATCTTCAGTGTACTCAAAATGGCTTAAATCTTGCGGTGGATGGACCATTGGAATGATATTCCTTCTGATTTATACTATATCCACCTCATTCAATCTTGGTAAGAATTCATTTCTGGTACCCATTTAAGAAAACAGACACTAAATTAATGCCCCAGGCCGAACATACTGGCTTCGATTCTGGACAAGTACCGATGGGGAGAACGAACGCAATTTACAAGCAAGATTTGATCATACGCAGATGTTCCTAACCTCTTCCGGGTTAGATGGCAATATTACCACGCTATCAGTCGAAGCTACAAGTAAACATAGCACAAACTTCTATCTCGGAATATATTTTGCACTGTGTATCGCTGTCAGCGTTTTCCGTATCTATGGCTATATTTACGCATACAAACAATCTATTCGAGGATCAAAGAACCTCTTTAAGACAATGCTCTTCAAAGTTTTAAGAGCTCCTTTACGTTGGATAGATACTGTCCCATTCGGAAGAGTTATGAATAGATTCACTACTGACTTCAACACGGTTGACTTCGATATTGTGGTGAGAATAGTCATTTCTTAGTCTTATCCCGTCATGACTAGTTTGCCCATTTTATGGAATCCCTTCACTCCTATATTAACCCATTTCTGACACTGTACTTTTAGGATACACTCACGTGGGGCGTCGGTGATGTCTTCAGGCTATTCGGCATAGCAGTTGCAGGGTAAGCAGTACTGCCTTCTCCATATAAACTCTGCTAAAAAGATGAAAAGAATGTTCTTGTCACCATACGTATTATTGTTAACAATTGCCGTATCTGCATTTTCTGTATATCTTGCACTTCAAGCCATCACTGCAGCAAGAGCAATCAGACGCTTGGATTCTATTAATAGATCACTTGTATTTGAGCAGTTCCGCACTATTTTGATTGGCATCACTACCATACGAGCTTTTGAAAAGAGGGATAATTATCTTGAAAAAGTATACGGTAAAATTGACGACTCAAGCTCAACACTATGGAACACAACTCTTTGTCACAACTGGCTTGTTTGGAGAATAGGCGGCATGGCTTCAGCGGCATACACAATGGCCATCGCAGCGATTGTGGCAGCTACTGTAACTGATGCAGGTCTTGCTGGATTTGTCCTTGCCATATCTCTGGAGTTCTCAAGTGCTCTGTTTTGGTCACTTTTTCATGCAGGTTTCCTCGAACTACGGATGAATGCTGCAGAGCGCGTAATTGAATATGCGGAAATGCCTACCGAGACTTTAGATGGTGAGGAGCCACCCGCGAGTTGGCCAACAGGAGGAGGTTTGGAAGTGAAAGATTTGGTGGTTGCATACAACCATGATCTGGCACCCGTTTTGAAAGGTTTAACCTTCAATATTGATCGTCAAACGAGGTAAATATTTGAATCCAACCTCTCCAATGCATTCCAGTCTAATATGGTTTTAGGGTAGGGATTGTTGGTCGCACGGGATCTGGAAAATCTACATTAACATTGGCACTTTTCCGTTTTCTGGAAGCGAGAGAAGGTAGCATTGTTATTGACGGTCATAATATCTCGAGACTAAAGCTACAGTCTCTGCGCCGTAATCTGGCTATCATCCCTCAAGACCCAGTTTTGTTCTCAGGTTCGAGTTTTTCCAATTTTGCACACAAAATTTTGCACTAACAAAGGGCTAGGAACGCTCCGAAGCAATTTGGATGCAGACAACGAGTATGATGACACGGCTCTCTTCGATGCTCTTCGCCGAGTTCACCTCATTGACCCATCCGTCTCTGGCATCGAAACCCCATCCTCGTGCTCATCCCAAAATCAAAATATCTTCCTTTCGCTCAACAGCTCCATCTCTGAAGGTGGATTGAATCTCTCCCAAGGTCAACGTCAACTACTGTGCCTCGCACGTGCCATTATTCGTCGACCTAAAATTCTCATTCTCGACGAGGCTACTTCATCTGTGGATGTCCAGACGGATGCACTTATTCAGCAAAGCATTCGTGAGGAATTTGCAGATAGCACTCTCTTGGTTATTGCGCATAGACTCAGTACGATAGCAGATTTTCAGAAGATCATGGTGATGCATGATGGGAAAGTGGCGGAGATGGGAAGTCCGAAGGAGTTAATCGATAAGAAGGGTATGTTTTGGGGGATGGTAAAGGAGAGTGGAGAGGTGGATAAACTAGTCAAGATGAGCAAGGGTTAAGCGAGTGCTCTTTATATACTGTTTATTCATATTGAGCGAGTTGCTTTTATCTCTTGCAAATTTCTCAGAATTGTCTGGTTTGTCATGAAAAGTCTTAATGTTCACTTTTGTGTCAAATATTTAGGTTCCTATTTGATGATTTTGAGAAGGGAAAACAGAGTCATATAGTATCACAGAACTTTCACAGTGTCTTGTACATTTGCAAACCTTCGAATATGCAATATAGATACTGTCAAATCTAGTATCTAGAGCTATAACTGAAGGAAAGCATTCATCGTCCAGATCAGGGTCTCGAGGACTATAGTTCGTGAATCTTCCAAATCGTAATTGAGGGCTGACTACCCATTTTGATTGTTAATTAATGATCTGAAAATGTTCTCTGTCTCAGAATTACGATGAGTTAACCTTAGCATTTCCCCACCTCATTTCCATTCATCGCAGATACATATACCAAGTAAGAAGTGATATTCGTCTAATATTCCCACCACCAATTCTTTTCCCATTATTAACCTCTAATCGCAAGCGCGCTCAAACTTCACATTGAAATTTTTACTTTTATTCTAGCTGACTTCTTCTCAGCGGTTGAATGATTAAGTGGAGAAAAAATAATATATACTAAATATACTGAATATTTTGAATACCTAAATGTCCTAAATGTCCTAAACCAAAGCCTACATTATATCAAATTATGTAATAAGATCCATTTTTATCAACAGGGCAAATACTTCCGCCGCGCCATTCCACCAGTATGTGAAATAGATCCCTACTCCCCACCCAAATAACCTCATTGTGACGGCTCCCTATTTGGGTTTAAGATTTTCCTGAGTTTCTAGAAATTTGGTAATCGGCTTGTCTGTGATGATCATCATTCTCATAAGTGAGTTTTGCAGCTCAATATGATCATGCCCTCGATTCTCTTGAGCATGAGCATAATCAGAAATACCTGCTCTCCATTTAGACCGCATTCCTGGCCATATCAATAGATGTGGACGTTAATGGCGATCTCCACATTTAAGACATAGAGTTATTGTGAGCAAGATATATTGCGTAAAGAATCCATCTTGGAAAATGCCTCGGACTTCAGCATTTAACCGCGGCCTCGAGACTATGTGAATATTGCGAATTCGACTCTCCTCATCAGCATCATTCGGCTCAGCCTTTCCACTTGGTGATGGGAAGAATATCATATGTATTGCTGACAAATTTACGTCGAGTAATAACGTAACGACAAGCATTGAGAGTAAAGTTTGATGCTGCCATACTGAGCCAATAATGAAAGACAGAAAGGAAGGCCAGGTGACAACCTGCATATATGACACGGCTTTGTCCATCTGCAGTATGACATGATAGAAATGAATCTCCCGTCCGATTAATAGCAATGATAATAGATATCAGAAGCACAGAATCCACTCATAGGCATGCTGATGCTGCGGCAACTTTCATGGCCATTTTTTAAGCATTGTGCCTTACATGTATGAGCTGCATCCGCAAGCATACTAAGTCGTAGAGCCGCTTTTTCGATTTTCTTTTCTAGCTTCGTAAGAGTCTTAGGGAAATCTCTAGGCCACAGCAACTAGTTCTGAGATAATCAATATGGTTTAGGGTTTTTGAAATGTGGAACTGGGGTGTAACGAGATGAGATCAATGTGTATCGTGACAGGAACTGTTACGACATGTCCAAAAGATGGGGCAAGATATTGGTAAATGTTGAAGATTATACATATCTTTGCCTTCCTCATTGAGTCCATTGGTCGTCTTATCAATTTAATCATGAGATGTGGTTGCAAACGTTGATAGTTGTCGAGAAATTTGATATATCAATGCGGTGCTTGAAATGCTTAATTTGGAAGGAGGGCGCATTTTTTGCAGCGCTGCCCCTGCTATTAGACAAAGGATAATCGCGGGGATGCCAAGAGATCTGAATTGAATTTTCCAATACCATGCCGCGTAAGGATTTAGGCAAATATCAAGCACTCCGAAATGTCCGCCTCAAGGCTCCTGCATGTCAAATGTATCAGTCGGGTTGAATGCAAAGCCACAACAAATATCTTCAAAAATTCAATACGGAGATTCTAGGACTACATGGTGAATGAAAGTCCGAAAGTATATCCTCAGTACAACAAGGAAGGCAATGTCAATTTAACCTTATTTTAACGTCTTGGCCTCCTTGGCGCTTGAGATAACATGCTCGGCAAACAGCCACAGCTTCCTATTTCGACCTGCCGAGGCCGGTCACTGCAGAGTTTGTTTCGATCCGACATTCTGATTTGCTTGATCTTTCGTCGTCAAATATGTGTAACTTTGGGAATGTCGTTCAGTGAATTTTGGGAACTTCTTGTTCAGGAATTCTTGCAAAGGTGCCTCCGTTAGTAACCTCAAAGTCGCGATTCAACAAAAAATCTATATGAACAATGCTTTACTCCCCCTCAGAACCCGCTTCATTCTTCCATCAACTGCTACAAAATGAAGCTCTTTGAAATTCTTAGTCTTGTCTCCGCTGCAGCTGCTGGAGCCGTACACATCGCGGCTGAAAACAAGGTGAACTACGATGGCTACCAAGTCTACCGACTCAAAGCTCAAAATGAAAATATGGAGAAAATCAACGACATTATCTCTTCATTGGATCTCCAAACATGGAAAAAATCGGCCCAACTTGGCACAGCTGATGTGGTTGTACCTCCGGAGCATGTAGACAATTTTTTGACAATAACCGAGGACATGCAGCGAGAGGTTATGCACAGCAATCTTGGGGAGTCCATCGCGGAAGAAGGGTACACTGATACATACTCCACAGAAGCTGGTAAGTCATCGCTATTCTCTCAAAGCCTTCCAATAACAAGCCTCAGTTCTTTCACCAAACGCTACGTGGTTCACGGGGTATCATGCATATGCAGACCATATAAAATTTCTCAAGGATTTAGTGGCTGCACATCCAGCAAACGCCGAGATCGTAACGGCTGGATATTCCATTGAAGGAAATGCTATCACTGGAATTCATATCTATGGCAGTTCCGGTAAAGGAGTCAAGCCAGCTGTGCTTTTTTATGGCACCGTGCATGCTAGAGAGTGGGTTACAACGTTGGTTAGTGGGAAGTTAGCGTCGCATCGAACTTGCAGCAGCTAAAATATTGTAGGTTGTAGAGTACATGGCGTACAACCTTTTGACAAATTATGCCACCAGCACCGAGATCAAAGGATTTGTCGATAAATATGACTATTATATCTTCCCAGTTGTGAATCCCGATGGTTAGTCAATACTATTCGTTCTTTAATATAGCTAACTTCAGCCGTAGGCTTTTTATACACTCAAAGCACAAATCGTTTGTGGCGCAAAAATCGTCAGATACCACCGTCAAACTCAACTTGTTATGGTAGGGATATCAACCGTAACTGGGCATATAAATGGTCACTCACAGGTGGAGCTTCCACCGAGCCTTGTGACGAAGATTACAAAGGTATGTGTTGCTTGGTACTTGGAGGCAAAAAGTAGTGCTAAATGTCATGTAGGTGTCGCTGCAGTTGACGCCCCGGAAACAAGAGCACTTGCTGCATACGCCAACGCTTTGAAGAAAATCCAAGGGTTGAAGCTTTTTATTGATTTCCACTCGTACTCTCAACTCTTTATGACTCGTAAGTCGATCTAACCCATCAAAAATCTGTATGAGTATCTAGTCTTACATTCACAGCGTACGGGTACTCTTGCACTGATTTGCCAGAGAACAACGCCCAGCTTCAGTCACTGGCAGCAGGTTATGTTTCTGCCGTCAAAGCAGTGTATGGAACCAGCTTCGATTACGGACCCATCTGTTCCACCATTTATCAAGCCACTGGGAGCAGCGTAGATTATGTTGATGCGGTCGTTGGCGCTGATTTCACCTTTACCACGGAATTGAGAGATACTGGAACTTATGGTTTCGTCCTACCGGCTAGCCAAATCACACCCAGTGCCATTGAGGCCTATGCTGGAGTGAGATCTTTGTTGATTAATATGACATGAGAGCCAAGAAGCTTCAACGTGAATGTCAGGAAATGGAAATAGCTCTAACGGGGATGGGAAAGGGAAGGAAAGAAGATAAAGACAGCATAACATGATAAACAATGAAATCTATTCATACAATTGATGCTTTTCTGAGCCCATTTTCGCTGAGTGGTATATATATGAGGTGAAAATGAGGTGAAAGGGCAGATTACAAAGCAGGGTGGCTGATGATATAATCATTGATTTTATTGGTTTAGATTCAGGTTAGGTTAGACTTATCTGACTCATCTGTGGCTGTTGACCCCCCAGCAAAAATATATTCTGATTCTCCAAATGAAAACCAAACATTTATATGGTCACTGTGTATAACTACCTACCTAGCATTGGATTATCGTAAACATTACGGTATATTCGGCGTGACCAATCAAGATGTTCATATCATGATATCTACCTCGACCAGTTATTTTCCTTTGTAATATCGGAACATTCAGTGGAACCAGTTGGTTTGCCATCGCAGTCTTTGCTCACTTGGCACTCGCAAATCTGCGGCGGAAAACGTGGCTGACTATCCACCTCTTAGTTGTTAAAGATGTGGCTACGCATCATTTCTCAGAGCCCTAGATGTTCCATGCCATCAGTCCTAGCTGCCAGAAGCTCAAGATCTCAAATTGTGCCGATTTTAATCCACCGAGGAATCACTAGAGAATTCTCCGAAACCTGCGAACGCACGTCCGATGGTGTATTTTTAAGGAGGACTGAGCCAATTGAGGTCGAAGACAACCTTCAAAGGTCTGACGACCTTGATTCCGCTCATGCGTCGCATCGGGAGAAGACGGTGGAAACTAGTCCGGAGATGGCGATCTACCGCGTAGCCAACGATTCGAGCCGCGTTGTGGCAAATAAGAAGGGCATTCGGGATATCAGCCACGGGGCTCAGCAAGCGTCCGACGTGCACTACAAACTGTTTACGGAGTTCCTAGACCAGCTTGACAATGATGGTTACAGGGCGTTTGCGAAACCGTCGCCCTATAGCGCAATACAGAAAATCCCGGCACTGGACACAAAACCCGAGCCCAAGTCGACGCACACTTTTCCCAGAATTGACGCAAATGGTGACGAACGAGTTCAAAATTTCGCAGATAGCCTGCATCAGAAAGATTTTCCCGTGTCACTCGAGGAACGCGCTGTCAGAAATACTAATGGCTCTGTTATACAAGAAACAGCTAAGACAAGTGCGATTATCAATCAAGAAGTGGAGCCGTCGCCAAAAATCGAGCAAACTATCAGCATTTGCCTACACCTGGATGAGAGAGTCACAAACGAGTTGGATAGAATGGTGGCTAAATTCTCTCAATATACCCCAATCATGAACAATGGCCGAGCGAACGTTGCTGTTATAAAGGGTCTACCGGTGCAACATTGGAGACAATACCAAGTGTTCATGCGATTTCTGCAATTCTGGAGGCCGCCCTTCTACATAGGTCGAGTGAAGCCTCTCATGACACGCCTGGGGCGTCATTGGGAAGTTTCTTGGCAAATAGAGGATTCCCCCGAAATCCTAGCCATCCGTCGAACGTTCCGTCAGGTAACTGAGGACGATCTTCCGCAATATAATTTTACCTCTGATACTTCTTGGGAAGCTAAAGCCGTTGTAACTCGAGGCCTCAGCCGAACTCAGGCGGGGGAAATCGTCGATGCAATCAATGCAGCATGGCCGGATGGGATTGACCTGGGTCTAATCACGCGGTGTGTTCTAATTCACACTATTTTCAGTCATGGCAAGATTCGCACAACAGTCACTAGATCACCGGAATTTCCCTTAATGGGTATAAAGCTCAATCAATTATCTCACGATACCAAAACACGCAAAGAAATCGAAAGCTTATGGAATCGAACAATGTCACAGATTGACACTACATTTTACAAGCCTAGTAAACCAAATAAATTTTACAAGACGGAACCTATGAAGAGGAAGTACGAATGAATTCCCGTTCGGATCTATCAAGTTATTAATTGGCATCTCCTATTTTATCAATATTCAGCTCTACCAAAGTCATGACTGCCACCACTAACACTTTCGTAATCTGCATACCTCATGTTATTGCTGCAATGGCGTGCTCTCCAGTGACAGATAGTAATTATTGAGAACAGGCCAGCTAGTCAATACCAGTTCTCACGTCTAATATGGGCATCATTGTATACATCAGCCTGGCCCAAAGCTAGAACGAGGTATGTCATCATTTTTCTTGCGTCGGTGGTGCTTCGTAGAGATTTTCATTTTGAAGTGGAGTTAAAAGGCACCGTTTTAAAGTATGAATGATGGCAAATGACTAGCCTTTCCCAACAATAAATAAACATCTTTATCATGGTAGTCGATTGGGCCAGTCGTCTTGACATATCTCCAGTAAGCATCCCTCTTGGCTATGCTGCCGCACTTATGTGATTTCTTTCATCAAAAATGCCCTTGTGCATTATTACAATAACCCCATGCCAAAAGCGGTCGAGTCTCCTCTTTGTTGGTGCAATCCAAATCAATCACAATTGGCAATTAGTGCATATGTACAAGCTCCTACAATTCTTTGTCGCCAAATTGAGGTTCTGAAATCCAAAACCTCGAGTTTACTTTGCATTTCACATTCTTCATTTCAATACATGCATCGCCCAAATCATGGACCCAGATAATACGACAGGATCAGAATGGATGCAATCCGAACGCTTTCATCATTGTGATGCCCATGACGAAGTTCGTACTCTGAACCAAACTGTTGTCGAAGAGAGGGACGGTTTAAGAGATTATGTCAGTGTGCTTGAGCAACAACTGCTACCTCGTTTCGAAATAAATGGCACAAATCCTGCAGAGATATTCGTTTCACAGAAGAATGCATACCTTCAGCGAGTCATAAATCTCGAAAAGACTATCGCCGAGACTGAAATGGCACAGTCTTTTGAAGCTCAGAAATGGAAGCGTGAGAAGAATGAATTACATCAACAAATTTTTGGACAAAATGGGTATAGGGACCGATTGCAAAGTGCGCATATCGCGCTAGAAATTGCGAATAATAATCTACCTTCCGATACTGTGAGAAGTGCCAGAAAGTTAACGGAAATAGCACAAGTAACAAGAGAGAAGGATGAATGCAACTGCAAGGTTGATGAGTTGCAAGGACGTATCAAAGATTTGCACTCCAATTGGAACGCCGCCCTGAGGGAGGTTGACGAGTTAAGAGAGCAAAAGGGGGAATGGACAAAGGTACAAGATAATTCAATTGCTTTGCAGGAAGCTAATCGGGAAATCGAACGATTACGGAGGGCAAATCAGAGGGAAGATTCTTACCATGTGCAGGCATCGCACCGACAGGTTTTACGATTGCAACAGGAAAAGGTTGTGTGGGAAGAAGAAAAAATGAGGTTGGAGAGTCACACTGTAGATTTATCACTACGACTAAGAACTCTGGAGGATTTGATAGCAGCGTTGGAGGCTCAACAATCATCCCCAGATGTACAAATGGCCGACATAGATGACGATTGCGGGACACCCTCATTACAACCAAAGGTGCTTGGAGACGCTGTTTGGAAGCAGTGGTCGGATAGGATATGTCGTCATATTCAGATGCAGCCTCAAGAAGTAGATGATTTATATCGTCTGGCCGCAGCAAACCTGTACCGACCTAGTGGAGCCTTACCTGATTCAGACCTCCGCCCTGAGAGTCCACGTCAACAATTTCCAGGTGTGACGTGGGTCAAGGAATTAGTTGAACTAGCTTGTGATCGACCGGTAGCTCCATTGGTACCAGAAACCACCTGGGTAATATGGGCGGATAAGCTCCAAGACTTTGTTCTAACCGAGCCCAATGAGTTATCTACACTCTACAGTCTGGCTGAGGAAGGGCAGCGCGTAGCTGGTGCAGAATGGATCCGTCAACTCATTGCCTATGCCGCGAAATTACCCACCTCTCCAGAGTATCCTGGTACTCTGAAGGAATATCAACTCGGCGTCCAAATCAATGAAGCTAAAGCGAAAATTGAAGAGCTGGAAAATTTTGACATAGATAGGGAACAAATCGATGAGGAAATGAAGATTTCAAGAATCAGCAACCAAGTACTTGAACAGGCGCTTGAAACAGCAAACGGGAAGATAGAGGAACTTGAAAATGAGATGGAAACAATGTTAGGGCCGTTTGAAGATGAAATAGAACAATTGACAAGGAAACTCGAGGAATCATTTCAGCAGCGGAATCTCGTCAAGGGTTTGTATGAATCAGGAAGTGCGCATAGAGAAGCACTAAATGAAATTGAGCAGTTAAAAAAAGACGTCAGGACTGCAGGTGAACGAGGAACTCGGTTTGCTGGGCTCTATGAGAAAGAGAAGCTACTTTCAGGTGAGCATGAGAAAGTTTGGCAGCGAAAATTTGATATAGAAGTCGCTGGTGCGGATAAACATGCAGCTGGCTTGGTCGAGGAAGCAGAGACTTTGCAGGGAAGATTGAATGGAGCACATGGTGTTATTGCCGATTTAGAAAGAGAAATTGAAAAACTGAAAAAGCAGAACGTGCATAGTAATACTGGAGATAGTGGATTAGGAGAAATTGTAGATGGAACTTCGCGAGAAGGAAGTCGACAAAATACACCCGATAGCCATGAAACTGGCGAATCTGAAGAAGAAGAGGAGGAAGAAGAGTCTGCGGAACTCAAAACTGCAAAAACAGATCTTTACAATACTCTTGAAGAGGTCGAGGAACTTAAACTCAAACTCGGTTTTGCAGATCGTGCTTTCGATGATATGAAAGATGAGTTTGAAAGGAAAATCGCTACGGTGGAGGATAATTCTAAGGAATATATGACGGAAAAGGAACGGATGGCAGAGAAATTGAGGCTCGCAGAAGAGAAATTCAAAAGAGGAGTTGCGGCTGAAGTTAGGAGATTAGAAAGGGAAGGTCTTCTGAAATTGGCAATTTCGGGAACTCAGCCAGAAGCGGATATTATAGGTACGGAAAAAATCAAAGGCAAAGGAAGAAAACGTGCTCCAGCAGTACCGAAACCTAAAAAACAAGCTTCCAAAACAGAAGAGCATGAAAGTCCCTCGATTACTCCGCTTGAAAATCCTCTTGAAAGTCCTCTTGAAAGTCCTGATATCTTGATGAAAGATGATGAGGAATATAGGGGTCCAAAACATGGTAAAAATACGAAGAGTAGAAAGGTGCAGGTAAATGACTTGTCGGAGGTTGAAAGTGATGGAGGGGGTGCAAGGAGAAGTACGAGGGTGACGAGGAATACGAAGCCGGTTTATACAGAGATGTTGAAGGAAGGGGAAGGGAGGAAGAGATGGGATGGTGGAAGAGAATGGAAGGTAGTGGAGAGTGGGGTGGAGGTGGGGGAGGGAAGGTGGAAGTACATATTGTAAATGATCTTGTAAATCTTTATATGCAGTTAAAGAAAGAAAGAAAGAAAGGAAGAACAAAATAAATAAATACAAGGAATTAAGAAATTATCTTTCAACTCATATTCGTCAGAAGTTCGTCTAAATAATCTTAAAACTTCGACGTATTAAAAAAGCCTTCTTCTCTTCTAAGTTAACATTCAGTACACAAATCAATCAAGCGCTGATTTGGATCCTCCATGGAGTTCCTGCAATAAAGGGATAGTCAGTATAAGGAGAAGTAACAAATTTTAAAAAGAATGGTCAAAGATTGGTTGTTAGATTTTTGATGATATCTCATTGATTTGATGTAGTATTGATAATATAGATTAAAAATTGAAAATTCGACAATGAATTGAGATGAGTTGTTACTGTATATATTATATTAAATCTAATTTAAAAATATAAATAATTGTTAATAAAAAATTCAATTATATTATAAATAAAATAAAGATTTTGATTTTTCTTTTAAAAAAAAATGAAATAAATTTATCAAAATTTATTATTAAAAATAAGTAAAATAAATTTAAAGATTATAAAAATTATTAAAATTATAAAAAGTAGTAATGAAAATAATTAAAATTAAAATTATATAAATATATCATATTAAATCTTATAATAATAATCTGATGTTTAATTCTCTTTAACTCATTTAATCAAAATCAAAAATATTTAATAAATTTTTAAAAATCATATTGATATAAAAGTCATTCAAAATTTCACAGAGGGAGAAATTACGAATATAAACTGATTGATGACTTGAACATCAATCCTGCAGTTTCCCTTTGCTCTATATAACAGAGCACTCTCAAACCTCCAACGTCCCCTCCATAACCTTAACTGCCTCACCACTCAACAATACGTCCTCAACAGCACCCCCATCACTTCTCATCCTCACATCTACAAATATATCATTCCTCCTCCCCATCTCAACTCCCTGCACAAACCCAAACTTTTTTACTATCCCTCCATCTCCACCTCCATTCACATCCCCTTCCACCCTCTTCAAACCCAACCAACACCCCAAAGCACAACTCGCACTCCCCGTCCCAGGATCCTCCATTCCGGCAAACATCCTCGTCCTATACATCCCTCTCCCGCCTTCCCACCCCGTCCCTACAAAAAACATCGTACAACAAAGCCCACTCCTCCACCCCTCATCCAGAAACTCCACAAAATACGCATCTTTATTAAGATTCCCAATTTCCTGTACTCTTTCAAGATCTTCCAAAGAAGGGAGATGAACGAGGATAAAACTCATACCGTTTACGATCGAGATTATTGGACATTGGATTTCCTGGGCTGTGGTGAAGTGTCGGAAGGAGAAGGTTTGGGTGTGGATGTGTATGTTGTGGGGGATTTGCGCAGTGGGTGTTTTTCCTTTCCCGTCATCAGGAAATGAAATGGGGATTCTCCCAGCCTTCGTAACTAACGCTTCTACACTCCGCAAACCCAAATAATTTCTCACATAAAAAGCAGTACCAATCGTAGGATGACCCGCGAAAGGAATCTCTGCATCAGCAGTAAAGATATCGATTTTAAGTTCCTTCGGGTTTGAATTTGAATCTAGTGATTCTTTCTCAGGAAGATGAAGGAACACAACTTCGGAAAGATTGAATTCTTTAGCGATTTGAAGTTTTTGTGTTTGGGAGAGGGAATTAGGAGTCGGGGGACGAATGATAGCCAGAGGGTTACCGAGATAGCGGGTTGAGGTGAAGACGTCGAGGGTGGTGAAGGGAATGTGCATTTTGTACTATATTATATTGGATAGGGTGAATTATTGAGGGCTGGGAGCTGTTTCTGCCCCTTTCCGCGATAGAGGTGTTGGTGCCAAAAATAGTAATTGCAATGAGCAATGATAGATTATTTGTATTAGAAGTCTTTTACTTCAATGTTGTTTCGAGTATTTATAGTGAGGTGAACTCGCTTGTTATGACTGTACTTTGGAGATTTTTAATCTATGAGTCAGAATGGTCAGTGTAAGATTAAGTTGCTGCTTGACTACGAATTCGTCTCTGCATGAAGCTAATGTTTTATGTTAAAGCACCCTGGTTTCTAATGCAGCTCACTAAAAATCTATCGAGGAAATGTCAAGATGTGTGATGAACACTTTGAAGAGGTTGATGAGATTCGAAGCGGGGTAACCTTATCCTACTACGTGCACGTGATAGCGTCAAATAAAAGGCGTGATGCGAACAATTCTCACATCAGAATCCTTAAACTCAGCTGGTACTTTTCAATCAAGACTATTGTATTAGAACGAAACTATCACACTTTTATTCATTATTACTTTATCTACAACCCCTAAAACCGACCCATCAATCAAAAAACACCAGGTATCATATCATCCTATCCTATAGCTATCCCGCCCAACTCCCAACGCAAATCTAAACAATCTTCTCAGCCTCAACCTCATGTCCAACCTCCTCATTCGAATTAACACTCTTATTTGCACCAGCAGTATATCTAGTCAAAGCTGGATCATAATTAGGAGTTCCTGGAACTTCACCTGCCAACTCTTCAAGAGTCTTTCTCTTAGTTTCAGGAATGAGGAAAGTGGTTAATAATCCCAAGAACATGAATAATGCAAAGATTTGCATGACATGGTTTAACCAAGGACTAGCTGCGGCACCAGTAGCACCTTTAACAGCACCTTTTGTTCTAAGTGGTCCGAAAACAACTTGTGCAATGATGGCACCTACTTTTCCGGAAGCGGCAGAGATACCGTGAGATGTAGATCTGTAGCGGGTAGGGAAACATTCACCTGGGACGATGAAGGTGGTGGAGTTAGGACCAAAGTTGAAGAAGAATTGAGCGACCACGTAAAGGGCTAAAAGGCCATGGCCAGAAAGTTTGTGGTAAGCGAATCCTATGATGATGAAAAGTATAGTAAGGATGGTGAAACCCATGAATTGAATCGGTTTTCGACCGAGAGTATCGATTGTGGCTACAGATACCCAGTATCCTGGAATAGCACCAGCGCAGACGAGAATAAGGTTACCAACGGCGGTTTTGTAAAAGACCTCATACATGTTGTGGCCACCAGACCATCCAATAGCGGAAAGTATAACGGAGTTATTAAGACTTAGTCCGTAATAAGCGACATCGAGGAAAAACCATGAGCCGGCTGTACCGAGAAGGATCTTGCCGAATCTCCATTGCTTGTAGTGAGCGATAAAGTCTGCCCAACTAGCCTTTGGGATTTCGAGCTCTTGTGAGCTTTGATTGATGGTGGTAACGCGAGTGATTTCATCTGGTTCACCGTGACTCTTTCCTTGCTTGTAAGCTTGAACGTCCTCGCTAGCTTGTTCAACATCACGGGCAACATCGAAGGTATATCGAGGGGTTTCAGGAATGGTTAAACGATAGTAGAGAGCAATGCAACCTGGGACGGCACCAAAACCGCTATTATTTGTTAGTGATAGAACATGAGAAAGAGAAATTGTAACCTACATGATAACACGCCACATCTTATCGACAGCGAGTTGGCAAACACCAGTGCAGGTTGATGCTTTGGAACCAGTCAAGAGTGACTCTTTGAAACCAGAGGTGACAATTAAAGCAATGATAGCAGCAGCAAATTGACCGATACCCTGCATAGCAAAAACTGCATTCATCATGGCTCCTCTCCACTTGGTGGTAGCGAATTCGGAAGTGATGACGCTTGACAAAGGATAATCACCACCAATACCGATACCCTATTTCATGTAAGTATGTGATGCAGAGACAAGGAAGTAAGTGATAAATTACCATCAAGACACGCCAGAAGATGAATAAACCAACAATGGAAACAGCGTGTGATGGAGAAGAAAGGGCTTGAGCGAGAGTAGCAAAGATGATAATCATCAACTCAAGACCATACATCTTCTTACGACCTACAACATCTGCAAGCCATCCGAAACCGAGTTGACCAATAACAGTTCCACCAGAAGTGGCAACCTTAATAGCAGTATCACTGGTTGTTGGAATTGTGCCTTTTGAAACACTGTTCTGAAAAAATGCTATACCCAACATGGAAGTGACCAAGTTAATGGCAAAGATCTAAGCCATAATTAGCGATGCGTCTCGGTGATATTGTGATTGAATAGATACTTACGTCGTAGGAATCAGTGAAGAAACCAATACCTGCGACAACACAGGCACGGACGTGATACCATCCAAATGGAGCTCTATCAATCTCAGCAAGAGCAAGACGTCGCCTCTCATTGGCGTCTGTGATATGAGCGAAGTCATTGTTGAAGTTGTGGAAGGCAGAGTTTCCTCCTACGGTGGTATGCACTGCAGCCATTGCAACAAATTGTAAAGGGGTAGTACCTTTTCAAATGAAGTATATGGTGAAAATTGTTTGCGAGTGCTTGACTGAGGAGGAAAAGACTGAGAAAGAAGGGAACACAAGTATCCTTATATTTCTCCTTGATATTCCTATGATTGCTTACTGCAGAGAACCAAGCTTCAACGTGAAGTCAGTGGTGGATTCTATTAGGCAAGGAGCTCCGAGTCCAAAAGTCTGGGCATCCAAGAATGATATTCACTAGATCAAATGTAATTCTAGTAGGCGCCCCAGTTTCCGGGTTGCCAAGAATATATTTTCAGCAGTGAATGTACACCAGACCATTTCAAGTAGGATTATTGGAATGGTAGCCCGGAGCAGAGACCAAAAATCATTGCCAGCCAACTTCCATGGCTTCAGATTTTGCCATTGTGTAGCATGTAAATGTCTGAGATTTGAGATTTTTGGCAGCCATTGGCTCAGTATCTATCAAAATAATAGAGTTCAGCCATTGAAGATTGAAACTATGACTTTTTGTCTGATAGCTCTAGACGAGCAGATGGGGAATCTTAGCTTAAAAGACCAGGCATCCCTTAAATGATTTCCGTGTTTAGCGCAGGATGAACGTGTAACCTTATGTTTACGCCAAGCCCTTTCATTCGATAAAACCAATCATCTTCTCCAGATGTCGCACGCAGTTTTTCCATATGGTAAATTTATTGGCTGGGAATCATTGTGTGAGTTCAGATTTGATGCGTGCATGTATGTTTTGGACAATACGATATCCAGCTCTCAGGGGGAATCGAATTTAACCAAAGAAGCTCCAAATCCGGAAGGTGCAAACACGTGGAGCGATGAATCAATCAGGATTGAAAGTCTTCCAGAACATTTTGATCTTCGTGGAGTCAATAAAGCTGCAGTCTGCAGCCCTGGCTGGACCCACGATATGAAGCACAAACAGTAACTAGGTAGTAAGTATGTTACTGTAATGATTCTCCCTATCTAACGACAGGAGCACGAAACAAACCCTACTTGTGCATAAACTTCCCTATACTGCAATATCGCACGCGACATGGCTGGAGGATGCATATCTTTCTCTATTGATGGTGAAGAGCCAAATATCTTATTCCAGTGAAGCCGTATTGCTTATGAGGCGAAGATTCTGATGAAAGTCGTTGCAATATTCTTGATAGTCTTGGCTGAAGTTGTGCAGGTCCAATGAAAACTGGGGAAATAACAACGTGCTCACTTAAAACGCCTTGGATACGCTAAACCAACTCCGGAATTCTAGCCCGACAGCCACCAACACAACAAGAACAGGAACAATTTAATAAGATCTTACATAGATAGATTAACCAACTGTTGAACTTTTATCTTAGCGATGCTCAATGAATCGATGTTCAATTTCTAAACTGCTAGGTTTGGAAATGTCTTGATGTTTATTTGAAATTTTCCGAAAACTCAGAAAACTTGAAAGGGGAGACTGGATGAGAGAGATAGTCTTACTACGGATTTTGGTGCTTTAGCCCGGGCACATGATGGATGAGGAAATCGTGAGATCCTACAACAAGTAAAATCATAAGCATCCAACCGAACCTGAAGAGCTATTAGATTTTCAAATTCGGATTTGAATATCGAGAATTCTGCTCATCTGGGGTTGGCGCAAACAAGGGTCATTTGATTATCAAAATCCGGGACATTGAAAAGTGCCAGGTACTATGAAACCTAGTCCGATTTGGTTGTGCGTTTTATTTCATCCATCGTCCGTCAAGCGCAAAACTCTGAGGTTGACACAAAGGTGGTCTGTCTCTCTTACGCTCCCCCAATTCCCGTTTTACTTCATCACTCCAAAACTTAATGATCTGCGAGTATCCGTCGTGGTTGATTCATCTTAGTATGAGTCTTTCCTCTTGTCCTTCCTCATTCCTCCCTCGTCATATAGCATTCGGTACCACTCTTCGGGAAAATTATCTGCACCAAACTATCAGCATTTGTCTTGCAGGCGCAAGTTCTACTCAAAGATGCGATAGCATCGTCGACTTTAGCATTTCCTCTACGACATTCGAAGCAGGTCTTGAAGTGACGGACATCACTTCCGTTTTCATCCTTTACGATCGATCAGTGGCCTTCAAATATCTAGATCCAGTCAGTCGGGGAGAGTCGGCCATCTTTTGACTTCAGGTTGTCCAAATACCGTGTATACAATGCGAAGATGGCTTTCGTTGTAACGATCACTATCACCATATGCTTCTGGGTGACAGCATGATACTAAGAAACAGCAATTCTCGAGGCATGCCAATTACTTGGGCGAGGGTAAGGGCCAAATGAGCTCGTTATTCACTAGACTTTAGCCTCAAGACTTCTGTCTCGGAAATATTCCCTGCGTGGCACAGAATATCTCTATTTTCTGTGAACAAGATGGATTTCATTGACATTTTCATTTCAAGTCGAAGTTGACTATATTGAAGGAACTGCGAGTGCATTCTTCATTTTTGAGAGACTTTACTTGAAAATACCTCGTTACTCGAGGAATGGTCTGGTATGCAGTTAATCGTTTTATGGAGCATCTTCTTCATTCTGACAGTTTAACCCACAAACCATCGCGAATGCTTTACCTGACGTCCGCCGGCCGAATGCAGGCTGATTGGTCAAAATTCATGAGGGAATGTAGCAAACACATACAGACGTGATCCAAATGATATTGTGTTATTGCCATTAAAAAAAGCAGATGCGAGAAATTTCTTTATAGATAGATGCTCTTCCCTTACTATCTCCACTTTCTTATAATTTCCAAGCCACCTCGAAGATTCTTACTCATATTAGGACTTTAAGCCAAGCTCAATCCGCTGTAGTTTTCGGTGTATAAGTATCCAACATGATCGTACTTGGATATGCTCAAGGAGATGTGCGAAAAACCATCAGTATCCTCGGTATATGCGCAGAGAGATTATGATCTTAACTAGTTCTCAGGTCCTAGGAAATGTGCTGCTGGAAGCCTTTGAAATTATTATAATTTATGTTGACTATTTGCATATAGTATGAGAAAGTTGGAATTATAGGCCAAATACATAGGGGTTTTTAACTAGTCAATTATATGATCTTTTGTAATTAAATATAAAAGGAAAGCTTTTGTTTCTTCTTTTTATAATAATCAATCTTCTATATATATACATTTGAACTTATATAATATTAATCCCAAACTATTGTAAACCTTGTTTTCTTTATAAATGATGTATTACAATGTAATCTAATTCAGCTTCCTCTTCCAATTCTCTTCTTACAGTGTGCTTTCAGGAAGTATGTATCTCGACCTACCACTTTTACAATAGGTGTTTTTTTCTATTATTATCAACAGAATAAAATTGTCACTTGGTTGGCATGTTAGGCCGTTTTTGCTGTCCTCATTGATCTTCCTATTATTACGAATAGCATGCTGTCGCGTTCAAGAGCCTAAGAGCAGTCGATAATTAACCTTTCCGGCATCACATATACAAGATCAATATAGTGTTATTTATATATTCATTCATTTGATAGATAGATTAATTTTCCAAAACCCCGAGTTTCAAATTTACTTCGGTATTGATTGTAGAAAGAGAGATTTATAGCCTTTTTATAGAATCTACTTACTATCTTTTTTATATATTACATCAGGTAACATATTCCGCATCATATAACTAAGTCACGAGATCAGTATCGTTATATGACCGGTTCTAAGAAATCGAACTAGAGCCTTTAGAATTGCTGATTCTAAAGAAATTAATTAGAGTTATTAAAGTTAGAATACAAAAATCTATATAATCGAAATGGATTTCCTTATTATAAAGTTTTATATTCAAGATCAACTATTTAATATAATCTATTATTAATTATAAATTACAATTATTATTATTGTTATTTAAATCTCTATTTAATATCTAGTTATAAACCACCTCGAGAGCCTAGATCACTTCTATATAATCTAAATAATAAACCTTGTAACACTATAATAAAAAACTAATTTATCAATCTCGATAATTAAATTAAAAGATTATATATTATTTATAAATAAAAATAAATAGATATTATATCTCAATTATTCATTAATATTAAATTTATAAAGTATTATATAAGTTTAATATCTTCTTTTTGAATCATTTTTAATATAGATTAACTTTTTATATCAAAAATCGTTATTTTCAATTACTAATAATTCAATAACGAATGAATAAAATCAATTAAAATTTTAATTATAAATTTATTATATAATTATTGATGGATTTTGAAATTTTTAGAGTTTTTTTAGATTTTATTGATTGAGAAATTGAAAATTAAAATTACAATTTTTAATTTATATTAGATTCATATTCAAAGTTGAAAATCTTGAAAATCTTAAATAACTTTTTAATAAAAACTGTTAAAAATAAATTATAAATTTTTTTAAGGATTTTTAAACTAAATATTTATTTTGAATTTAAATAATATAAATGAATCTTTATTGATATTTTTAGATTTTACAGAGATTAAAAATATAATGTTTTGATTAAAAATCATAATATTTTAATTAAAAGAATTTTTATAAAATATCTTTTAAAATAAATTAATCTATTTAATTATTTATAATTTATTTATAATTATTTTTGTTGAAAAGTTATTTACAATTTTAAAGATTTTGTAAATTTATATATAAATTCTATACAAATCAAAAAATTACAAAATTTAAGATTATAAATCTCAATAAAATTAATTTTAAAAAATTCAAAATTTCTAAAATTGAGTTATATTTATATAATGGATTTACAATTCAAATTTTATCAAATTCTATTGATTAATTATAAAGTTATTAATAAATAAAAATCATAATTTTTAATATAAAAAGATGATTTATATTAAAGATAGTCCAAAAGTATAGTACTAGACTTATATTATATTTAAATTTTGAAATAATATATAATCAAAAAATTTCTATAAATATTATTAAGACTTCTTGTCGACTTCTATCATTTTATAAATATCACTAGATGATGTCTGAGTAGGTCATAAGTGAGCCCTCGTTCCTTGAAGAGTTTTTGGAAATACTCGATTTCGCTGTATCTTCATCATTATTTAGTCATTTTATTTGTTGTTATCATCTTCATTACCACCACGAATCTCAAAGTTTTTCCTATTAGGAATTGATTTTGCTTTTACCTTAATATATATTAAGTATTTAATAATAAATATATTGATTTCAGAATAAAATTCAATTCTTGAATATTCAAGTCGATGTTTTATATATTATATACTATGTTTTCAATATAATTAGTATATTCAAAAAGAATATACTTCTAGTTTCTTTTATATATTTAATTGAATAAATCTTAATAGTAAATAAAGAATAAAAAATAATTTA